ATGTATATATGTATATTTACAAATAAAATCTATGTATTTGTATCAGTTATCTAGTACCCATAACACAAGCTTTAGCTAGCTTCACTTGGGTCTAGATGGCGCTGTGTGAATTGTTCTGAGATTATTATTATTATTTATATATTTAAACTTTATTGAATTGTACAATATGTGGGCTCAATGCTAATAGCATTCTCTACCAGCCAACCTTAGGGAGTGCAGACATACTGTACCATTGTACGCATTTCTATTATAAATTAACTGTGTTGTTTTTTACATAACTTGCTACCCACCCCGGCTTCGCACGGGTGTACATCTATTATACATATAAACCTTCCTCTTGAATCACTCTATCTATTAAAAAAAACCGCTCCAAAATCCGTTGCGTAGTTTTAAAGATTTAAGCATACATAGGGACGGACAGCGACAGCGACATTGTTTTATACCATGTAATGATTTATATTACAATGTAATATTACAAAATGAAGTATTACAAACAAATAAACAAATTATTAACGATTTTGTGCTCTTTAGTTTGTTAGATAAAGTACAAAATACCTTTAATTTTATTGAGTTAGGTATTTTTTAAATAAATTAAGTAAATAAATTAAGTAACATAATCTTGGTAAAAAACAAGAAACTTATTTGCAAGTAAAACTTATAAGTCTAGAGGTTGACCAAACAAACTACTGTTCTCTGACCCGAGTCAGGAGCGAACGAACTAGATCGCATGAGAGCTGAACAGTAAATTTTGCGATCCTAGTCGCGAACTATTACGCTCAAGACTAAAACACACGTGCTATCAATATTTGTAGAATTTTTCGTGGGAAAATCTCAACGTCCGCAAGTTCTATTATCATCTTTATGTTATGGGAATTAAAGTTGAATATTGCCCACCTGTGATGGCACCATCGGCTCAATGCCAACTTCAATTGTAAACAAACTTGAAACAATCGTCCGACATATGATTTTGCCTACATTCATACATACTAGCTGTGCCGTACGACTTCGTTCGCGCAGCGCACGCAACGGAAGCCCTGATATATGAATAATTTTCCCCGTTTTTGAAACATTTTTCACTGATGCTCCGCTCCTATTGGTCGTAGCGTAATGTTATATAGCTTAAAGCCTTCCTCGACAAATGGACTATCCAATAGAAAAATAATTTTTCAGTTATAATCAATCATTTTTCAGTAGTTCCTGAGATTAGGGCGTTCAAACAAACAAACTCTTCAGTTTTATAATATTGGTATAGATTTTAATAATAATGAAATGGTGCACCCGCCTGTGCTAACCATCACTAAATCATGTTTTCCAGAGGAAACTGCGTGGAGGTCAACCTGACATGGTGGGGGGAGGGGATTGTTAGTAATGTGGACTCATAATCCCATTACTAGCAATATCCCATGTCAGGTTGACCTCCACGCGGTTCCCCCTGGAAACAATCGCGATAAATTCCTGGTAAATTTGTCACGATTGGCTAACTGACCTGACCTCATGCTCATCTTATCATCCTCCACTGGTGCCCCGCCAGCGTAAACAGTTAGCGCAGGCGGGTGCACCATTCCATTATCATCCATAAAAAAAAAAACCTGACATGGTACATTGCTATTAATGGGTCAAGAGTCATAGTCATAACTCAAGAGTCTGTTGTTATGATATAACATAACATAACATGACTAACAACTAACAATCCCTTATTAGTATAGTTTAGTCGTTTTCGTGTCCTTTACATATATAATATTATGTAAAAAAAAATAAAACATATCTTTTGGACAGTACAGACAGTACCTACCAGCTCGCGGGGTTTTTTTATGGACGCGGTTTCACTCGTGTTAAATTTCAATATAAATTATAGCCTATATGTTATTCTGATGTATATGCTATATTACTGTAAAGTTTCATCAAAATCCGTTCAGTAGTTTGTACGTGAAAGAGTAACAAACATCCATACTCACAAACTTTCACGTTTATAATATTATTATATTCGATTATTAGATTCAGATCATGGTATGGTGCACCCGCCCGCGCTAACGGTTTACGCTAGTGGAGCACCAGTGGAGGATGATAAGATGAGCATGAGCTCAGGTCATATAGCCCATCGTGACAAATGCACCAAGAATTTATCATGATGGTTTTCAGGGGGAACCGTGGAGGTCAATCTGACATAGTACTTTGCTAGCAATAAGATCATCTGTCCACATTACTAACAATCCCATTTCTCCCTCAGTTCTCGGGTTTTTTATGGATGATAATGGAATGTTGCACCCTCCTGCGCTAGCGGTTTACTTCAAATCTTGTTTTTTTTTAATTATGGCAATCCTAATTCAGAATTTATGAGCTGGGCTCTTGTCCGTGTAGCTCCCGTCACCTTCCACGATCTTCCATCAATATCTTTAGTTGCTAATACGACACGTCTCCAACTTTTTGTTTAACCTGCTTGATATAGCTGTGTCTTAGTCTTATCCTTCCTCTATTTCCTTACATAGTTATAAATTATCTTAGTATAAAACAAAGTCGCTGTCGCTATCTGTCCGTCCCTATGTATGCTTAAATCTTTACAACTACGCAACGAATTTTGAAACGGTTTTTTTAATAGATAGAGAGGAAGGTATATACATGTACAATATACTATACATATGCACCCATGCGAAGCAGGGGCGAGTATCTAGTATAAAACAAAGTCGCTGCAGCTGCTCGAACGCAACGGATTTTAATGCAGTTTTCAGCAACAGATAGAGTGATTCAAGAGGAAGGTTTATATGTATAATACATGCGTGTTAGTATAGAGCAAGCCAAGAAATTCAAGATTTTTAATCCATCCAAGCGAAGCCGGGACTTGTGGATAGTAACAACTGTAAATAAACTACTCAAGATTATTGGTTTGTAAGTAGGAGTCATGCTCCATTGAACGGATGGTTGAAGCCACGCTCTGCCAATTTTATTAGCTTTCACTCTTAGTTCCAGCATTGGTACCTTCACTATCTACACGCTACGCCCTTTAGGGGGTAGACAGAATAAATGTAATTGTAAGCTAGACTCCTTTTTCCGCAAGCAGCCTCGCATCCGGGCCGTTGTACGTGTAGAGCCGAGACTACTAGAGTAGCCAGCCAAACTCCTCCCAAAAGCGCGGAAGTTTTCTGGTGTCTTCCAACTTTTAGTTTCAACATCAAGACCTTCACTATCTACACGCTACGCCCTTTAGGGGGTAGACAGAATAAATGTAATTGTAAGCTAGACTCCTTTTTCCGCAAGCAGCCTCGCATCCGGGCCGTTGTACGTGCAGAGCCGAGACTACTAGAGTAGCCAGCCAAACTCCTCCCAAAAGCGCGGAAGTTTTCTGGTGTCTTCCAACTTTTAGTTTCAACATCAAGACCTTCACTATCTACACGCTACGCCCTTTAAGGGGTAGACAGAATAAATGTAATTGTAAGCTAGACTCCTTTTTCCGCAAGCAGCCTCGCATCCGGGCCGTTGTACGTGTAGAGCCGAGACTACTAGAGTAGCCAGCCAAACTCCTCCCAAAAGCGCGGAAGTTTTCTGGTGTCTTCCAACTTTTAGTTCGAACATCAAGACCTTCACTATCTACACGCTACACCCTTTCGGGGGTAGACAGAATAAATGTAAATGTAAGCTAGACATGGGCGGATTCAGTTTTGGCGCCAGGAGTCAGATAGTCGTGGTGAAGTCGAGAACTTATAATTTAATTTTGATAACACTAGCTACAAGTAAGAAGTAGGTATTTTATTAATGTACGTAAGTACTGTACTTAAAAATATTTATTCTTTATTGTAAATTTAAAAACTCAACACATAATAATTTGTACTGTGGAGGATTCCACTGGCGCCCCAGTTATGGTCATTTTTTTATGTACGACTAGCTGTACCCGCGACTTCGTCCGCGTGGAATTTAGCTTTATTGTTCTAAAATAAAAGTAGCCTAAGTGACTCCTTATTACATCAGCTACCTGCCAATAAAAGTCCCGTCAGAATCGGTCCAGCCATTTCAGAGATTAGCCGGAACAAACAGACAGACAGACAAATATTGTAAAAAATGTTATTTTGGTGTATTTATTATGAATAAATACACCAAAATAACATTTTTTACATATTGAAGTAACCCTGTTTTACTACATGCATATGAATGCATGTAGTAAAACACGGTTACTTCAATATTACAAACAGACACTCCAATTTTATTTATATGTATAGATATATAATATACTTTTAATTTAGAAAAATAAACTTAAGTTCCACGCAGGCGAAGTTGCGTGTATAACTAGTATAATAATAATAGAATTACTTAGTCAGTATGACCCGTAACTCTAACCTATAACACCGAAAAAAATCGAAAATATAACATGTATAAATTTATATATATATAAATGAATTGCTGTTCGTTAGTCTCACCAAAACTCGAGAATGGCTGAACCGATTTGGCTAATTTTAGACTTGAAATATTCGTAGAAGTCTAGGGAAGGTTTAAACGGTGATAAAATATAAAGAAATTGCATGTAAAATAGTGAAAACAACAATTATATTTTCCCATACAAACTGCTGATACCTGACCAAACAGGGTTATTGCGTAACTAAACTTCAAAAAACATATTGACATATTAAATTTTGAGGCGGAGCGGATGGGATTGTCATCGTCACATTATGTGCACAAAAATCCCAAAAAAGTACTGACCTACTAAGTACTACCTGACCCCGCGAAGAGTGCGCGAGGTCAGGTAGTAAATAATATATAAATAATAATAAATTTTATATTTATGTATACAAAAGAATACAATATTAGTATTTTTTTTTTCTCTTTATTTTTTTTTTTTGGGAATTTTGTGCACATAATTTGACGATGACAATCTCATCGTACCTATACTAAATAACAAAAATAAACTAAAAAACTTAATCTAATATGATACCATCCAGAACAATAACTTGGCATATTAGTATTGCCAAATGTTTTGATACAAAAAAATATAAAATTTCTTTAATTATTTGCAGGTGGCATCATGCGCGAGAGCCTCCGCAGACTCGCATCAGACGAGGGCATCAGGATGCAGCGTGGAGACACGCGGCGAGTCCGAGTGGAGCTGCTGGATGGTGACCATGTTACCATCGACGTTGATGTAAGTCTCACCACACCCTGATAATAAATTGTTTATTTGTTTGTAATACTTTATCTATACATATAAATAAAATTGGAGTGTCTGTTTGTAATATTGAAATAACCGTTTTTACTACATGCTTATGAATATAAATACGGTACATACACCAAATTAACATTTTTTACAATTTTTGTCTGTTTGTCTGTCTGTTTGTTCCGGCTAATCTCTGACATAGATGGACCAATTTTGATGGGACTTTTATTGGCAGGTACCTGATGTAATAAGGAGTAACTTAGGCTACTTTTATTTTAGAAACATAAAGTTAAATTCCACGCGGACGAAGTCGCGGGAACAGCTAGTATGTCAAATAAATAGAAATAGAAATAATCTTTATTCAAATAAACTCATTACAAGCACTTTTGAATAGTCATATTTTGATTCTACCACTCATTCGGAATGCAGATTCATCACAAGAAGAATGCGCAAGAAACTTGTGTGTTGCTCTTTTTAATAGATGTTTTTTTTTTTTATATATAATATATAAAAATAATAAAATCAAACAAAAAATAGTGTTAGTTACAGATTCTTAAATTTAATGTTAGCTACTATTAAAAGCATACACCTATAGGGGACGGTCACTATTTACAGGCAGGTTAGCTTGTTTACCATTACCACCAAAAAATTTTCCCTAAGTCTCTAAAAATTTAATTCTCAATGTACTCTCTCAAATATGGTTGAGTGCAATGATGGCTGTCTCATCCGTCATACTCGTGAACGTGTGCTGCTTGTGGGGACTGGTCTGTTCAGGTTGCGAACACTGATTAGATTTTTTGTGTTTTGATATAGCATATGCTGGTGGTCACTCTATTCTCCCAAATTTGAATTTTAATGACTGTGTATTATTGTAAACATGTACAACATTTATTTGAAAATAATACGAGCTGAATTTCTTGTCAGTTCTTCTAATCACGAAATCATTCCGAACTGACGGTTGATTTGACATATCATAAGAGTCTGTAATAGACCTACATGAATAAAGATATTTTGAATTTTGAATTCCAGCGCAAGGCTCGTGGTGCCGATTTGCTGGACAAAGTGTGCGACAGTCTGGACATCATGGAGAAGGACTACTTCGGTCTCCTGTACTTGCTGCGAGGGGATCCTCGCGTGTGGGTAGACCTCGGCAGGCGACTCTCCAAAACATTTAGAAGTACGTATATATACTCATAGTACACAGTGGCGTAGCTACCTAGGGGCTAGGCGGGCAGTGCCCCGATGCCCTAAAACTCAGGGGGCCTTCGAACCCTTTCCAGAAAATCTCGATCGTACTGAATTTTTGAACATTTCTCTCATTTTCAAAATAAATATGACTGGTTGCCCGACTTTAATCATGGCAACTCAGTTGAGAGAAATTCGAAAATTATACTTTCGGAGTTCTCCTAAATTCTCGAAAAATAAGGGGCCCCATAGTGGGGCCCTATTTTTCGATTTGCCCCAGGGTCCTTGGTTACCTAACTACTCCACTGGATACATGCGTATGTTCTCTCCGAATTAGATACATTTTGCAGAGACTAACCTACTTAGTACTTCCTAATTAAATTTAGATTTCGGTCAATCCACTGAGTGTTTAGTTTTATTAATTTGACTATAGTTTACTAGCTGTGCCCGCGACTTCGTCCGCGTCGAATACGACGATGACGACGAATTTCCATACAAAATTTCATCTCATTTTACCTCCTTAAGGGTAAAATTTTTGAACTTTGAGAACTTTACAATAGATACTTCGTTACAACCTCTCATCTCCCCTTTCAACCCCTTACAACCCTTTTTCTTTATTTATATTTTCTCAACAGCCTAAAAATAGGTTTCAAGCTTCTAACTTTAAAAATTACAATACTTCCATACCTACACCATTCATCTCCCCTTTCAACCCCTTACAACCCTTTTTCTTTAGTTATATTTTCTCAACAGCCTAAAAATAAGTTCCAAGCTACTTATGTTACGGCGGGCGATATTTGCCTTTTAAAAAATATATTTTATTTAATTAAAACAATGAAATTATTAAAATACAAAAAGTTTATGTCTCGAACAAGACTACTGTAAAAATATAACAATTAATAATTGGTGTTAGGTGCCGATTCGTGGTAATTTGCTGTTCCTGGTAGCGGTGTCAGCTTATTACGTGCCACACACAGCAATTTACCAGGCGTTACGCCATGGTAACTCCTCCCTCCTTTAGATAGAACCGCGTCTCGCTGTTCTTCTGCGGGGATGGTCTAGCAATCTGGTCTGCGGCCATCTTTTTCCTTCGGGTAGTTATATATGTAATTAATTTCCAGCTCAAATAGCCTAACCCAAGGAGGTATAGGGCGATGGTAGTCCAACTTGGTTTTAGTGATATGAAAGTCTCATTATTATCCACATCATCTTGTATATAATGCGCTGTTTTTATGAGTTCATGTATATTGTCTAAGGAGATGTCTTCTATTGTATTTTTGCTTGAATTTCATCTGTTCTTATTGCCTAACTGCTTTGGTAATGGAATAATGTCTTCAATGGTTACAGTATTGCTATGAGTTTGTAGAGTTTTATTTAAAACTTGCACGTAACACTCGTTGGGGATTGCGATGAGATGTACTCCGTTGAGGGTGTGATACGTTATTTCAGTATATACATGTTGCTAGGACCTCTTGAGTGTTGGTGATAAGAAAGCTACTAGGACTAATATTTTGTAACTTTCCCTTCTTTATCATCATTTTTGCGTATGGACAAGATTCGTGGTTGATTTTATGTTCTATTGTTGCTGTGATACAATCTCCAGCGTCTTGTAAGGATTTCAGTAACAACTGCTTGCAGATGTGTACGTCTTCGGTGATGCTGCGACTTTCTTCATCTATGTACGTGTACTCTCCCTTTCCAAGTACTAGGTATTTGGATTTGGGAATAATGGTAAGGTTGTCTTTGTTAGGAATAGAATACATATGGATAAGGTCATAGGTTGTTTCTACTGAGGGTATTTCTAAAATGAAATTTAATGATTGTTCTGTACTATAAGCTTTAATCTCTATAGACTTTTCTATTTCGTGAATATTTTCTAGATAGATCGGTGCCACGGGATTGAAGCTTCATATTTACGTTTCATATCTAACATTTCAATAATTAAGTTTTTAGTATTTATTACACTGGGGTGCATGATACCTATTTGTGCGAATGCCATAGCGTCTTCTAAGATCATTAGCTTATCTAATATTAACTGTAAACTAAAATCTATTTGTATATGAACTTGTAATAAACTAAACTGCCTAAATACTATATTAGAATGCTGCGTTATATTTTGTATAATTAAACTTAACCTATTTTGATTTTGATTTATCTTATCTAATTGATTCGCAAATTCTGCAATAGTCTTTTGAGCTATTACAATAGATTTTTCTTGTATAGAATGTATTTTATTATTGAGATTAGAAATTTGTTGCTCATTTTTACTGCATCATCGTAATCTAGATTGCCTGAACTGTTTTTACTAAAGACAATCCGTTAAAAAAATTCCGGTCGTACTCTACTATGGGGTATAATAGTAATTTTGCTTTGTATCATCTGTAATACTCTATTTGATCTGTATATGATTTATGCAACTCTCCTTTATCTTATCATCATAAAACTTGGTATGCATATAGAGAACTCATAATGTAGTTGTATATAAATAACTAATGTTGTAGGCACATACTAAGTTAAAAGTATCTATTTGTCTAAGGACTGACCCCTGCTTAATTCAAAAAGTATACCATTAGAGTTATCAATATTTTCACGGTGGTTGCTGATGTGAGCATTCCGGAGATGATCGTCCTGGAACAAGGTGGGGTCTTCGTAATAACAAATGTACTCTTATAGATTTGGAATTAGGGTGGTTACCTATATTTCAGCCACATTGTTAGGGTGTAAATGAATAATTTTATATGGGCCTTTAAAAACTGGTTTTGTTTTGTCGTTTCTCGCTGTTTTTGCCATAATAAACGGTTTCACCTAGTTCAGACGTATTTCCTCTGCTTCCTGGTTTCGCTTGTTTATTACCTGTTCTTTATTTTTAGACAGATTGGCTGCCACAGACTGCTGCACTGCTTCTGCGTTTGTCCTATTTGTAAGTACAAAGTCTTGGTAAAACTCTTTGTTATAATAGAGTTCTAATGGGTTTCTAGCCGCCGTATGTCCATAAAGTAATTCGTGTGGAGTATAACCTGTTGTGGAATGAATGGAATTGTTATATGCGATAACTGCATATCTCATAAGTGTTTGTTTAGTGTCATCTTTGTTAGTCATGCGTTGAATGCGTATTATTTCGCCGATTGTTGAATGGAATCTTTCTAAGGGGAATTTGAGTACCATATGGGGTAGTGAAGTGTATGTCTATATTATGTGATGCACAGATTTCTTTTAATATGTCGTTGTCGAATTTAGTGTCTGAGTCTGTCGTTATCTTTAGGGGCAAACCTAGTATAGCAAATATCTGTAGTAGGCCATCTGCAACGTGTACGCTGCTGGAGGCTTGTAAGTGTAGAAATTATCAATGATAGTGAGAAATGTTCCTCCGCCAGTAGAATATAGATCCATAAATAAGTGTTGCATAGGTTTAGTAGGTGTTTCCGTTTTCATCAATGTTGGTCTTAAAGGATTGCGTTCGTATTTACCTTTTAAACAAATGTCACATTTATTTACAAAAGCCTGAATTGATAGGAAATGTTCGGCCAGTGATAATTTCTGTTGTTTATACGTTTCCTGAATACCGCGATGTATATTTTTACCTTCGTGATATTTTATTATAAGATTTTGTTGTTCTGTCTTATTTTCTAATAATTTATTTGCATGTACACCTAAATAACTTTGGGCTTTCATTAAAGACTGTGGTGTATATTTTTGAAAATTCTAAATAAAGGTTTTCGTCGAGAAAGTAACAGTGAAAAACTCTATTTCTGCTACAGTATGCTCTTTTAGAAATTTTATTATTTCGCGTTCAGTATTATTAATTGGTATAAATACATCTTTAATTGTTGTTTTAGAATTTGTGGACCTATCCTCTATCTATATACAGATCCTGGATATTGTTTTTGCTTTTCTATAATAATCTTCTATAATTGGAATTCCTATATTGTCGTTATCTGGTTGGGTGTGTTTGGTAGATATGAGGTGACCTGGCTCAAATGAAGTTGTACTCATACTATCGGTTGATGTATGTGTTTGTACTGTAGGTGTTTATTGTAGGCTGTACATTTAAAGGGTTTACTTGGTTTTCAGGGGGATCAGCTTCAGCAGCTTCAGATTCAAGTTCCCTACGTGCGTTTTCAAATATACGTGGGATAATTTCGTCGTCATCGTTGTCATCGAAATTTACTAACAGGGATTCAATGCTATTATGAAATATTTTTGCTCTGGATAAAGCATCCGCATTAGTGTTCTGTTTACCCTTTTTGTATATAACTTTATAATCATACTCAGCTAATTTTAACATCTTGTTAATTTTGAATTTGTCTTTGAGGGACATCAGCCATGTTAATGGTCGATGATCTGTAAGATAGTAAATTTACGGCTGGACATAAATATGGTCGGAAGTATTTTACATACTATAGCTAGCAACTCTTTTTCAATAGTTGAATAGCGGGTTTCTGTTTCAGAAAGTGTCCTAGATGCATAAATAGGTTTGTCTGAACCTAACGAGCCTTGAGAGAGGACTGCTCCGAGAGCAAAGTCTGATGCGTCTGTGGTAAGTATAAAGTCCTTGTCAAAGTCGATTGCAAGAGTGGGTCGTTGGTTAGTAATTGATTACATTTATTAAAAGCATCTAATAACTCAGGTTTATGTGTAACTTTGTTATTTTTTTTTAAACAAATAGTCATAGGCTTTGTTAATTTAGCAAAATCTTTAATGAACTTTCTATAATAACCAACTAAACCGAGGAAAGACTTAATGTCCTTCTGTGTTTTTGGGATAGGGAAATTTAAAACAGCTTTTATTTTATCTTTATTAGGTTTAAGTCCGTCGGCTGTTAGTTCATGTCCTAAGAATTGTACATGTTTCTGTAAAAATTCTGATTTATCGAGTTGAATTTTGAGATTATGAGTTTTTAAACGATCAAATACTTGTTTTAATTTATTCATGTGCTCTTGTAGTGACGTAGAAGCTATTATAACGTCATCTAAGTATGTAAAGACGTTATCGAGTCCACGTAAAATATGATCCATTAGTCTCTGGAATGTACTTGGAGCATTTTTGAGACCAAACGGCATTCTTAAAAATTCGAAATGTCCCCTTTCTGTTGAGAATGCTGTTTTCTCAATATCACGAGGGTGCATTTCTACCTGGTGGTACCCACTTGCTAAATCTATTGTACTGAAGTACTGTGCACGTCCTAGTCTATCGAGTATATCGCTAATGTTCGGCAAAGGATATTTGTCTTCAATAATCCTATCATTAAGTCGCCTATAGTCAATGACTAATCGCCACTTGACTTTGCCAGAAGCGTCAGGCTTCTTAGGGACTATGTGAACAGGGCATGACCATGGTGATATACTTTCGCGGATAATGCCTTGTTTCATAAGGTTATCGATTTGGGATTTAATTTCTAATCTTTGTTGTGGGGCTTGTCTATAACTACGTACAAAAATCGGGGTGTCGTCAGTTAATCTTAGTTCGTGTTTAACAGCGTGAGTGAAGGTTAAAGGGATGTTTTCGGAATAAAATAGATCTCTATACTGATAGCACAATTTAGTTATCTCGCGTTCTCTTCTTCGTTCATATGGCTAGATCGAATTTTCTTTAAATTTTCACATAGTTCTTTATCAATATTTATATTACTTTGCATTGAATATGAATAATGAATCGGTTTTTCTTTTTGCTTATATGGTTGTAATTCGATTGGGGATTTGTTTGTAATAATTTTCTTTTCTGTATTTGAATTAATGATTGATGTTAGGAATGTCCCATTATGAACCTTAACTATCGCCGCGGGAGATACTAAACCGGGTGTCCAACTGTACTCGTCATGGATATACTGTCCGTCTGTGTAGTTACATTTAATTTTAATTATTTTTTGGCACATCGGTTCTAATCGAATATTCTTTTTGGGGTAATCGAAATAAATTGGTATGTCAGTAGTATGGGTGCGAAGTATTTTATTTTTTAAATCGATATTACTCGAGAGTGATTTTAATAGGTCTAATCCAATTAATCCTTTATATTTATTGTCAAACTCGAAAATGAGAAATTTGTGAGTGATGTTCGAGTTAAAGACTGATGGTAGGGGCAAATGAGCGACATATGCATGTTGCGTCACCGCGTGAGCTGTCTTTACCTCGAATGGTTCGTAATCGATGCATTGTTCGAGTTTCGCGTATTGAATGACATCGGGCGATATCATAGAACGTGAGGCGCCAGTATCAATGAGAAACTTTCCATTAAACTCGGGGATTATTATGTACGGGAGATGATCTTTATCTTGGTGGTTTAGTTTTATCAACTCTGGTCGTCTTCGTCCTGAGTTTCGGAAAAATCCTGAGATGTTTCAATTTGTTCTTCTATTAAGTTAGTGTTAGGGTAGTAATTGTTATGCTGTTCGTCATGAGGGGAATAATAATCTAACGGGTTGCAATAATACTGAGGTGTGTCGGACTTACCTTCGTACGGAGTGTAGAATAATTCCTCATATGCATATTGTGGAGGTGTCGGTTTGTTAACCGATCGCATAGTGACGTCAGATGTAAGTTGAGTCGGACTTACCTGTTGCTGTGGAACGTTCGGCTGTCTTTGCTGGTTATTGTTACTCCTAAAGTTGCCTGAGTTTTGCTTAAAATTACCGGGGATTGGTCTATTCTTCCAGGGTAATAATGAATTAACTAACTGTTGCCGTTGTTCCGGGCTGAGATTATTTTGTTGAGGTACATATTGATTAAATGGCATTTGTCGTGAAAAATGTGGCTGCGTTGAAAAATTGAATGGTGTACCTACTTGACTATGAAATTGACGTGGAAAATTATTAGGTTTATAATTATCTATTTTTGTAGCTTTTTGCTGTTGGTTTTGGGAATTAAAACTAGAATTATTCTTATAAGTAACTGATTTCGTCTCCTCCTGTCGTGCGGTTACTATTGCAAGTTCCAATGTACCTGGCATCATAATTCTTACGCCTATTGATATATGGAAGTCCAATTGACTGATATATTGCTCAATAGCCATTTTCTCATAGTACGATTTGTCGGTGTGTTGCCCAACCATATACAGAGTATCTAAAAGGTCCCTAATCCTTTTACCGAAGGATTCCGCATCCTCGTTTTTATTCCGACGGATACGTGTGAGCTCTTGCATAACTTGAATCTCGTTCCTAGGTTCTCCTAGACGTGTTAGTAGAACGCGTTTTATATCGGGCCAACTGTTTAATGACTCCTCATAAGCTATCGCGTCAATCGCCGCACCACTAAGGCGACTTTTTATAAGACAAACTATAGCTAGAGAGCCTGCATCCGCTGTTGGGTGGATAAGTCCCATTAAATTATCAACTTCTCTTAAATAAAAGTTTAATCTTTTAGGGTTCCCATCGTATTTGGGCATGAGGTCAGTAATCATCTTATAGTCGGCTGCGAACTCCATTTTAATAATATTTTATATTTATGATAATAACTATACTACTATTAATACGTGTATACACACAGATATTCAATTGATTTTAAATTGACTTGTGAAATCTATAGCGATACGAGCCTATAGACAGATACACATTAAAGTTCACTTATAATTAAATACGAAAGGAAATAGAGCATAGGATGTACTTGGAAAGTAATAGAGTACTCACCAACACAGCATCTTCTGCATCTCCGTTTCGGGTCTCGTCGATCACAGGTCTCCAATTTTCCGGATTCCTGCAAGTCTTCAATATGCCGCCGTTATAGTTCTTATTATGAGATCGCGGATAGTTACGATTAGCACCGTTCACTCTAGTTCTCAACACACGAAGAGTCTATTCGCGCGAGGACTTCTATTTACAAAGTCCTAGAGTGCCGCGATCCTACCGACTGCGCCACTTATGTTACGGCGGGCGATATTTGCCTTTTAAAAAATATATTTTATTTAATTAAAACAATGAAATTATTAAAATACAAAAAGTGTAATTATGTCTAAAGATCGAACAAGACTACTGTAAAAATATAACAATTAATAATTGGTGTTAGGTGCCGATTCGTGGTAATTTGCTGTTCCTGGTAGCGGTGTCAGCTTATTACGTGCCACACACAGCAATTTACCAGGCGTTACGCCATGGTAACTAGCTTCTAACTTTAAAAATTACAATACATCCATACACCTACACCTTTCATCTCGTCTTTCAACCCTTTACGACCCTTTTTCTTAATTTATATTTTATCAACAGCCTAAAAATAAGTTTCAAGCTTCTAGCTTTAAAAATGACGATACTTTCATACACCTTTTATCTTAACTTTCAATCATTTTTTCGCATTAAAAAGTTGCCTATCTCCTTTCTCAGGGTCTAGACTAACTGTGTACCAAATTGTATTTAAATCAATTCAGTAGTTTTGACGTGAATGCGCGACAGACAGACAGAGCTACTTTCGCATTTGTAATATTAGTAAGGATACATTGATAAATTTCAGACGAACCCTGGGACGTGAGGCTAGCTGTGAAGTTCTACCCACCGGAACCATCAGAACTAAGAGACGACATGACGAGAAACCAACTGGTGCTAGCCGTCCGACGAGACTTGCTCGAAGGTCACTCCTACATCGATACGAGACATAAAAAAAATTGGAGTAACTGTTTGTAATATTGAAATAACCGTTTTTTACTACATGCATATGAATATAAATACGGTACATACACCATCCATATGTCTATAGCGAGAATTTGCGTAAAAAGTGGTACAAAGTTTTTGCTATATGTATTAATATATAGATAAACTAGTCGTACCCGTGACTTCGTCCGCGTGGAATTTAACAAAAAGTTAATTAGAGATTTTTTCTAAAATAAAAGTAGCCTAAGTTACTCCTTACCAAAGTACCATCCAAATGGGTCCAGCAATTTCAGAGATTAACCCGAACAAACAGACAGACAGTCAAAAATTGTAAAAAAATGTTATTTTGGTGTATGTACCGTATTTATATTCATATGCATGTAGTAAAAAACTGTTATTTCAATATTACAAACAAACACTACAATTTTATTTGCATGTGTAGATAACTATGATTAAAATAATTGTTTATTTTTACACTCTCAAGTTGAGAATAGATTAATATTATTTGTCTATAGTCTTACTGATTGTTAAATTAATGATAATAATATTTTTATAATAATAATATCTCCGGATAATTCACACAGCGCCATCTAGTCCCAAGCTAAGCAGAGCTTATTTTATGGGTACTAGACAACTGATATAAATACATGGATGCATTTTTTTAAATAAATACATATTATAAATATCAAATACAAATGTTTGTCCCGTGCGAGGAATCGAACCCACGGCCATCGGATAGTAAAGCAGTGTGCTAAACCGCTAGAACACCGAGGCTCTCGATCGAGCCTGTCGGTCGGAGATGCCGTTGAATTTTGACCCCATGGCGACCATTACTATTCCTCGTAAATATGCATTGAACGGTGTTCTATCATGCTCGCGATGTGTGAGGACGTTTACAAACAAAATTGGCCATATGAGCACATCAACGGCAAAACCGGAGTTGAAGACAGTCGCCGTGACCGAAATAGAATAGAATAGAATAGAATAGAAAATCATATATTCAAATAAATTTACATTGAAGCACTTTTGAATAGTCATCACATTTTTTTTAATCTACCGCTCATTCGGAAAGCTGTCTCATCACAAGAAGAACGAGCAAGAAACTTGCGTGTTTCTCTTTTAAATAATTTTATTATTACTTTACATTTTTAAGTTGAAGTGTGTGAATACAAACCACCAATTAGCAGTAATTCAATTAAATAATCAAATTGAAAAAATATTGAATATATAACCAACTGGTTAAACAATTAATAAGAGGAAATCAGTCATAGTGATTAGAGCAGACCAGTCTTTACAAGCAGCACTCGTTCACGAGTATGACGGATGATATAAATCGGCCGGGATTACATCATCAAATATGCATTTACAGGCCGATTGAACTGCTCCAGTATTACATACGCGCTGCTCGCCTCGTATAGGATTCAAGCGGAGTTGGGTGATCACGAGCCGGGGAGACTATCCTCAGCGGTCCTGGTGGAAACTGGGCCCATACCACACAGGCTGTTCACAGCCGACATGGAGGAGAGAGTTGAGGACTTGTACAAGAAGCATAGGTAAGTATATCTTATATATAAAATTCTCGTGTCACAGTTTTCGTTCCCATACTCCTCCGAAACTTGGCCGATTCCCATGAAATTTTGTGAGCGTATTGAGTAGGTCTGAGAATCCCTAAATGTTAGGGGTAGTCCACCCCTAAATTTTTATTTTTTATTTTAAGGCAAAACAACGTGTACCGGGAAAGCTAATTATTTAAATTATTAACCGGGTCTTAACACGAATAATTTTATGGTAAATAAAGGTATTTACCTCTCTCGACGTTTCGACTAGGTTGCACTAGCCGTGGTTACGAGCTGACTCATAAGTAAGTAATAATGTTATAAACATGAAAGTTTGTGAGTATGGAGGGATGTTTGTTACTTTTTCACGCAAAAACTACTGAACCGATCATCATGAAATTTTGTACACATGTTCTTGGAAGTATTAGAAATAACAACAATTTTTATTAAAAAAACAAATACTTTTTATCTATACATATAAATGAAATTGGAGTGTCTGTTTGTAATATTGAAATAACCGTTTTTACTACATGGACATGAATATAAATAAGGTACATACACCAAAATAACATTTTCTACAATTTTTGTCTGTCTGTCTGTCGATCTGTTTGTTCCGGCTAATCTCTGAAATGGCTGGACCTATTTTGATAGGACTTTTTTTGGCAGGTAGCTGATGTAATAAGGAGTAACTTAGGCTACATTCATTTTAGATAAATAAAGTTTAATTCCACGCGGAAGAAGTCGGGGGTGCAGCTAGCAAAAAATAAAATATCCACATTTTGCTACTTCAACGCCATTAAGCAGCCAGTAATGAAGTTATGCGAGCGAAGCCGCGGGTAAAAGCTAGTAATTAATATTGCAAAATGTAGGATATCTATTTGGATTAACAAACTGTAACATTGTATAATAAGGGCCTGAAGACACAATCTTCGTGTAAAAATCATGAAACATTTCAATTTTAATATTTATTCATTCATTGCCTTGCCTTTAACCCATTATTTGTGGTCGGCGCAGTATGTCATTCTCTTCCACTGCTCTCTATCGGTCGTCATATCTGAACATACTCTTCTTTTATTCATATCATCTTTCACACAATCCATCCATCTTTTCTTAGGGCGTCCCCTCCCTTTACATCCATCCACATTCATATTATACACTTTCCATAAGACATGGTCCTCATTCCTCCGCATAACATGCCCATACCAGCTCAATCTGTTACCTCGCAACTTTTCTATAACCGGCGCAACTTTCAAACTTCCTCGTATATACTCATTCCTCATATACTCATAAAACATGAAATTTTATAATTATTAAAGTGACCATCTGTGACAGTCTAGGTTTATGTTATTAATTGTTGATCGAACTATTCCTAGGTGATCAGTGTGTTTATTTGTTTATTTCTAATTACTTATTGTAATAAAAATGGTGGTTTTTTTTGTATTATAATTGAATGGTCCATCCGCCTGAGCTAACGGTTTACGCTGGCGGGGACCCATGGATCATGATAAGATGAGCATGAGGTCAGGTCAGTTAGCCCATCGTGACAAATTCACCAGTAATTTATCACGATGGTTTCCAGGGGGAACCGCGTGGAGGTCAATCTGACATGGTACATTGCTAGCAATAAGATAATCAGTCCACATTACTAACAATCCCCTTTCCTCCTAAAAATGGTCGTTTATAATTACACAGAGGTCAAACTCCAGCCGAGGCGGAGTCTAACTACTTGGAGAGCGCCAAGCGACTACCCTTGTACGGGGCAGAGATGCACTGCGCGCGGGATAGCGCAGAAATAGACATAATTCTGGCTGTATCTGCTCCAGGGATCGCTATCCATAGAGATGGGTGAGTTTACTCAATACTCATTAGATGCCTTAGACGCATTCGTTTCGCGCAATCAACATCGGTAAATGCAATCACGATTGCGCGCATCGCGAGTGCGCGCGTTGCGCAATCCTGATTGCATTTACTATTTTACTATTTTTTATTAAAATACTGTTATTATAATAATAGTTCTTATATTATGTACGTGTAATTACATTTTTCATTGACTGTAGTAGATAGTTTTAAATATAAAATTGATAGCTTACTACCTTAATTTTTATGAAATTATTTTTTTTTCAAATGTACGCTTTATTTTTATTTTTTTTTATTGGATTGTTTGGGCTATTGTCAGATGTGTAGCACCCGTAGCACTGCGACCTACATAGATCTATTGTGCTCGCCCTTTTCAGAGTTCGCTACCTAGACCCGTCAGGGACAAGAATTGAAGGATATTCTTAGGAGCGATCGTTTTTATCTCCTCGGGAAAGAGTGTAAACTTTCCAAAGGAGATATTTCGTTTATGCATGAGTGGGCTACAACCACATAGGATGTGAAGCGGCGTTTCCTCTTCAGTTTGGCAGAATCTGCAGATACTTGTCGTGCATAGGCCTAGTTTAGCCATATGCTTGTTTAATTTGCAGTGTCCTGTGAGGGCCCTAGTCATCATGCATGTTGTTTTTACTCAATAGCAGTAGTCTATTGGAGTATTTGGTCGAGAAGCCCGATATTAGGTCTTTTGAATGTGTTAATCCTGGCATTTCTTGCCAGTGATTCAGTGCTTCTCGTTTGGTTAAAATGTACGCTTACACTTGTAATATTTCTGTCAACACTTGAGACCCTTCTATTAGTTTATGTCTCCACTCTCCACTAACATAGACTTAAGTTAAATGTTATGCTACGTTTACATTTAGCCGCTTCCCCGGCCGAAATATTGCCGGGCGACAACTGAGCGAGAGGGCTGAATGTAAAAACACGCTGCCACTCGCGCTGCCAGTCCTTTGACTCGCGCACGAAAAACCGACAATCGAGGGAGCGCCGGGCAGCGCGAGTGGCAGCGCCAATGGGACGGCATGGGAAGTGTTTCCACTCGTGTTTACACTCTCGCGCTGCTCACTTCCCTGCTCACTCGGGCTGAGTGTAAATAGAGCATTAAAAACAGTCCACGTTACGACTCCGCGTCGAATGTACGCATCACTACATAGTATAAAACAAAGTCGCTGTCGCTATCTCTCCGTCTCTATGTATGCTTAAATCTTTACAACTACACAACGGATTTTGAAACGGTTTCTTTAATAGATAGAGTGATTCAAGAGGAAGGTTTATATATATAATACATGGACACCCGTGTGAAGCCGGGGCGAGTTACAGATAAGCAATATAGCACAAAAACTTAATAATGTACAATAAATAGTACAATTATTTCACCTGTATACTCACTACTTACATACTACAATAAATAATATATTATGTCGCTACATAATGTCGACACCTCATCTACATCTGTACTATATATATATATATATTACTAGCTGTCCCGGCAAACGTTGTTTTGCCTTAAAATACATTTAGGGGGATGAAAAATAGATGTTGGCTGATTCTCAGACCTACTCAATACGCTGACAAAATTTCATGAGAATCGGTCAAGCCGTTTCGGAAGCGTATGGTAACGAAAACTGTGACACGAGAATTTTTTATATAATATTATTAATTATTAAAATTATAAAGCTAAAGAGTTTGTTTGTTTGTTTGAACACACTAATCTCAAGAACTACTAGTTCTAATTGAATTTTTTTTTTTTGTGTTGGGTAGTCCATTTGTCGAGGAACATTTTAAGCTACATAACTTTACGCTACGACCAATAGGAGCGGAGCTGCAATGAAAAATGTTGTAAAATCGGGGAAAATTATTCATATTTGAGGGCATCCAAAGATAATCGCGATAGTGTTTTTGATGATCACGCAAACGAAGTCGCGGGCACAGCTAATCATATATAATGTTACAATGATGTGATGAGGTGATAACCACCGCGCTACATACTATTTCAATTTTTGATGCAGACAAATAATGAACCGGTTTCCCTGGGCGAAGATTACCAAGATCGGCTACAACAAACGGACATATACACTGCGGTTGAGAGCTGGCGAGTTTGATGAGTACGAAACCTATCTCATATTTCGGCTGGCCTCCACCACAGCTGCCAAGAAACTCTGGCGATGCAGCGTGGAGCATCATATGTTTTTCAGGTGAGTCTATATATTGGTCTGACAGTCGCTGTGGTCTAGTGGTTGTACACTGCCTTACTTCCGATGGTCGCGGGTTCGATTCCTCGCAGGCACAATCATTTGTATTCATGAGTATGATTGTTTATGTCGGTCTGGGTGTTTTCTATGTATTTACAAAATTTTCTATGTATTTGTATCAGTTATCTAGTACTCATAACACAAGCTTTAGCTAGCTTAACTTGGGTCTAGATGGCGTTGTGTGAATTGTCCTGAGACTATTATTACACCGCTTTACTTCCGATTATCGCGGGTTCGATTCCTCGTACAATACAAACATTTCTTTTCATGATTATGATTATTTGTATAGATTTAATATCAAATTTAAAATATCTTTATTCATGTAGGTCTATTACAGACTCTTATGATATGTCAAATCTACCGTCAGTTCGGAATTATTTCGAGATGAGAAGAACTGACAAGAAACTCAGCTCGTATTATTTTCAAATAAATGTTGTACATGTTTACAATAATACAGATTCATTTTTAAATACATATTTGGGAGAATAGAGTGACCAGAATAGAGGGATTTGGGTAGTGTCTATGTATATTATGTATGTATTTACAAATGTAGTTAGGTATTTATATCAGTTATATTATATTTATATCAAACATTTCAACTTAAAAATGTAAAGTTACAACAATTATTCAAAAGGGCAACACGCAAGTTTCTTGCTCATTTGTCTTATGATGAGTCAGCTTCCCAAATGAGCGGTAGATTAAAAAAAGATAAGTGTGTCCATTCAGAAGTGCTTAAATTTAAGTTTATTTGAATAAAGGATTTTCTATTCGATTCGATTCTATTCTATTCTGTTCTGTTCTGTTCTGTTCTATTTTGTCACAGGCTGTGCACGCGGACTCACCCGCGTTAAATTTCAAGCACTTCTGTACTTAAATTCAATTTTATTAGAATAAATAAATTTCTATTTTATGAATCCTGAAGTCTGTATGTGTGTGTGTGTGTGTGCAGGCGGGAGGAGCCGGTGTCTGTGTGTCGTGTGGCGGGGTGGCCGCGGCTGGGGTCGCGCCGCGTGTCGTGTCGCCGCACGCTGCGGCAGATGCGGGCCGCGCCCCCGCAGGGGGCCTGACCCCCCACACCACACCACCCCCCTAACTTATTGAACAAAAAGATACATTAATTATAAGAAAAATAAATACGAACAACTTTAATGTAGCTGGTAACGGCAGAATGTCGTAAATGGTTCAAAATAAACTCACCAATCCTTTTTCAGGAGCGTATATTGTCACAAGCTTGAAAGAATAATAAATAAAAATTTATATATAATAAATACATATGTATCAAAAATAAGAAAATATTATTTTTTTTTCTTTATTATTGCCCTATATCGCGTGCGAATTTGTTTTCACGAAACACGAAATTTACATGCACTTTGCATGTAAATGTAACAGAATTAGAATGAGAAAGACCTCGCGCGATGTCAGTGAGTGCATGCTCGTGTTCTGCAATCGTGAGTGCTTTAGCGCCTTTTTGTAATAATAATCATTTCAAAATGTAAGAATTACTAACAACTAATCTAAATATATATAACTCAAAGGTGACTGACATAGTGATCTATCAACGCACAGCCCATGATAAAATTTTCACAAAATATATTAAATAAAACCCCTCAAAAGGGAGATAATTCATTAATTAATGACTGAGGAGGAAATATTTATCACGATTATATATTTAATGTTATTATATTTAAATTCACTCCTTCACAGAAGTTGTTTGTGTTCATTGCAAAAAACATAAATAATTCATTATGCTAAGTATAAATAATTATAATTAAACTAAAATCATAAATATGTATAAATATTACAAATTTCATTACAATATTACAATGTAACATGTATTCCTATCCGAATAACAATTGCAAAATTCATAATAGAAAACAAACTTACATTCATGAAAAACATTTATTTTTTATTTTTATGAAACGACTTTTGTTAAGTAAGTATTGGATAATACTTTATTTGTGACATAGAAATGTAGAATACCAAACTACATAATAGAAAACAAATTTACATTAATCCAATAAGAACATAACCTATTAGTAACAATATGAAAATACTTTTTTTTTTATATTTTTACGAAACAAAATTCTAGTAAGTATTAGATAATACTTTATTTGTGGCATAAAAATGTAGAATTGCAAACTACGTAATAGAAAACAAACTTATATATATATACAATAAGAACATAGCTTATATATAATAACTACATGAAAAAAAAACTAGTTTTGTTATTTTTACGAAATTAAGTCTAGTAAGTATTAAATAATGCTTTATTTGTGGCATAGAAATGTAGAATTGCAAACTACTATACGTAATAGAAAACAAACTTACATCAATGCAACGAGAACATAGCTTATTAACAACGATATAAAATAACTTTTTGTTTTAATTTTTACGAAAGTAAAGTCTAGTAAGTCTTGGACATGACTTTAGTTGTTTCAAACAAGTGTGGATATTTCTTCCAGGCTAAGCTTAAGAGTGTTCACAATTTTTACTTTAATATTCTTATTATTATATCAGAGATAAAATGAGTTTTAAATCATTAAAATATAAATTTAGTTTAAATCAAATGAGTTGTTTAATAAAGATAACATGGTATAATCGTTAATGTGCCATTTCAAATTATTGAATTATTTAATATTAATAAATAAATAAATAAAATTTGTCTAAGCATTAAATATAGTATTGTTAATTTATTGATAAGGCATTACATAGTATAAAACAAAGTCGCTGTCGCTGTCTGTCCCTATGTATGCTTAAATTTTTAAAACTACGCAAAGGATTTGATGCAGTTTCTTTTAATAGATAGAGTGATTCAAGAGGAAGGTTTATATATATAAAACATGTACACCCGTGTGAAGCCGGGGCGAGTAGCTAGTAATCGATAAAAATGTTTCTTCTTAAATTTTAATTAAGTATTAAAATATTGTATTATTAGTTTGTTCATAATTTGTAATAAATGTAGTTATAAGAAATATTTTAATTTTATTTCATCTGTATTTTTCCCGTTATTTTAATATAATATAATATTTACCCTGGACTATTAACGCAGCGCCATCTAGTCCAAAGCTAAGCAGAGCTTGTGTTATAGGCACTGAACAAGTGATTTAAACTTACATAAATACATTCTCTTCGCTAACATGTAGGAGTTTCAAATGAAACTTTTAACTAACTTTTAACTTAAATATTAACTTTCAATGGTTAATTTTAACACTTTTTGAGGAGACCGATAGATTTTTGTTAAAGAATAAAAAGTGAGTGAATCTAAATATATATAACTCAAAAGTGACTGACATAGTGATCTATCAACACACAGCCCAAACCACTGGACGGATCGGGCTGAAATTTGGCATGCAGGTAGATGTTATGACGTAGGCATCCGCTAAGAAAGGATTTTTATTAATTCTACGCCCAAGGGGATAAAATAGGGGATGAAAGTTTGTATGAAACTTTGTCAATTTTAAACCGATCGGGCTGAGACTTTGCATGCATAAAGCTACTATGACGTAGACATCCCCTAAGAAAGGAAACTAAAGTAAAGCCGCAAAAACTATACATAATTAATAATAATACTTCTTAACACGAGCGAAGCCGCGGGCAAAAGCTAGTACAAAAGTAATAAAGTAGGTATATCGAAACACATCTAATACGCCTGTGAACATTTAAATAGCAACTTTTTACAGTTAGTAATAGATTGTGTTCAAGAGTGTTGAAGGTGTTCCAGACCATACTTTTTTTTTAAATCCATACATAGTATATAACCAGACCTATACCAATTCTCTAATATAAACGAATACTAATGTTGATGAAAATTAATGAGGAATCGAACCTGTGAGTATAGGAAGCAAATCGGTGTGCAAAACCACTGGGGGTGGCATATAAAAAAAGTTTGATTTTTATACTCAAGCTATTTCTATGAAATTTCTTTAATACCAATTATACCAAATACCAAATATAGGGGGAAAGGGGATTGTTAGTAATGTGGACTCTTGACCCCATTGCTAGCAATGTACCATGTCAGGTTGACCTCCACGCGGTTCCCCCTGAAAACCATCGTGATAAATTCTAGGTGAATTTCTCACGATGTGCTAACTGACCTGACCTCATGCTCATCTTATCATCCTCCACTGGTGCCCCGCCAGCGTAAACCGTTAGCGCAGGCGGGTGCACCATTCCATAAACATTCATAAGAAAAAAAAATATATAAACATAAATATATAAGAAATTCTTGGAAATAAAAAAAAAGATGCATATAATTTAACAAATGCGTAGTTCTAAGGTCAACAAACAATTGCTTATTTTACGTTGCAACGTTTTTGACGATCAGTTAGTTGAAAATATTATTTTTGTTGAACTGAAATTAAAAATTGCTGGAGGATGGAGCTTGATGAATACGTTCGCTTAAATAGGATTTTGATAAATTCAACCCCCATGGGGATTAAATAAGGGATGATGCAGGATGTAAATGTATTAGTTTGAACCTATCAGTACCTAACGGAACGAATAAGTTAAGACAAACAAAATTCAAAGTTCTTTAGGCGACTTTTTTTTTAGAAAATATAATTAAATTCCACGCGGACGAAGTCGCGGGCACAGCTAGTAAAGTATAAAAATAAACACATAAATCCTCATGTTTTTTTTTGCGATATTAATAAACATAATACTGTGTCTATGGTTCTGAGAATCTATAATTAATTATCGTTGTAACCATTGACGTACAAATATTACAGAGCTTAGAGAAGACGTGGCATTGTAATATCATCATTAATGCCTTCCATTTATTTGGGATCATCATATTTCATCAGTCATTAGCCACCGGTTATGATTTATTGATAGGGCATCAGCAAGTCATAATGTTGATGATAAAATGAGCATGCGGTCAGGTCAGTTACCCCATCGTGACAAATTCACCAAGAATTTATCACGATGGTTTCCAGGGGGAACTGCGTGGAGGTCAATCTGACACGGCACATTGCTAGTAATACAGTTATGACTTGCTGATAGGGTATCAGCAAGTCATAATGTTGACGATAAAAGGAGCATGCGGTCAGGTCAGTTACCCCATCGTGACAAATTCACCAAGAATTTATCATGATGGTTTCCAGGAGGAACTGTGTGGAGATCATCAGTTCACATTACTAACAATGCCCAGTCATAGTTATGCCCAGTCCCTACAAGCAGCACCCGTTCACGAGTATAACGGGTGACAACTCTTGCAGCGAAACAACCGCACTAATAGAACCCTATTGAGTGCGGTTATTTTGCCGCAATTAATTGAAATAGCGCTCGACAATACGTTCTCTACGTTGGTTAATACATAATATCTCAATTAATTATTACTTATGAATACCAAGATCAAGCAAACGTCATGTTAACTAAACATCAATGGACGCCACTGACGTCAATTATACTCGTGTGTCACAATCTTTATGATGATTCCTTATTTTTATACTTTAGTACATATATAGATAGTAATTTTCATTTCCTTAATAATTGATTATTTATATCTAACCTGCATCGGGATGCATGTGTCCGCGTATAGTTGGGACGGGTCCCAAGTATGCGCGGACGCGTTACAAATCTATGATTTCACAGCTTGTTCTATAGTGTTATAGTATAGAATAACCCATGAAATTCAAAGATTTAAAACGCATCTGCATCCATCCATCCGCATACCGTCCCGACCACATTTTTACACACACACGACACCGTCCTCGCCGGCGAAGACGATGACCTCAACCACATCCACACCGCGCTATCAACCGAGCGCGCGCAGGCGCCTTGTCATTCCACACCGGTGCCCACGGTCGCGCCTCCGATCGATCCCCCGTCCAATTCAAACGGGGATCGATATTACGACGCCTTAAGCCGAGCGGCCGAGATTCGAACCCCTAACGGTGCCCTCAGACTAAAGACTTTCAAAGTTTAAAATTTACGTACATAAAGTTGAAACGTCAATAAAAGCTGTAAAACTGTATAATGGTAAGCCACGTGGACGGTATAAGGGGCGGAGGTAGGGCACCTGCACGTTGGATAAAATAGGGGATGAAAGTTTGTATGAAAATTTGTCAATTTTAAACCGATCGGGCTGACACTTTATATGCATAAATCTACTACCTTAGTAACATTATAAACGCTAAAATTAGTGAGAACGGATAGATAGACGCAAAAACTACTAAACCGATTTTGGTGAAACATTTTTTGGTGAAATTTATATATGATAATAATGTTTTTGTAGAAAATATCTAACTTAGAATTCATAGCGCTGACAATGTTATCTGATTGAACAGAGATTAAGTGCGTAGCGGTTTCTATGTTGATTGTCGCATGCCTAATCCTTGTTGTTAATTAAATATAATTAAATCAATATTTATTTAAAAGAGCAACACACAACAACAAGTTTCTTGCTTATTCTTCTAGTGATGAATCTGCATACCGAATAAGCGGTAGAATAAAAAAACTTGACTATTCAAAAGTGCTTATATTAAGTTTATTTGAATAAATATTATTTCTATTTCTATTTCTACTTACAGCAATATAACTTAATAATGAATTTAAATAAATTTTATTAGTACATATTGAAAGAGGACAATTAAAATTTTGTTTGTAGTTAACTCGAAACTACTCAACTATAATTAGCTTGGACTAATCCAAGCATTTGTTTTCAACTATTAAAGAACACGTTGGTATTTTCCGTGATTAAGAATAAATTATTTTAATTTGCAGCATTACTCGCTCGGTATTATTTAATCACATTAATTCTATATATAGTCCGCGGTAAACCGGGCTGCCATATTGGCAAGGTCAAGAGCGAGTTGTCATTTGAACTTGAGAAAAATAGGGAAATACACACTCAGTAGAACTGTCTGTGGGTCATTTAAATATAATGACATCGTAAATTGTAAAAATAACAAAATTTCGGTAGCAAACGACTAAGCACGTTTTAAGTTGTTACAAATAAACAAGTTTATTTTGTTTATTTACTTATTAAAACCAAGGCTATTTAAGTATATCTTAAATAAAATCAATATAGACGTCATACTAAGCCACAGACAGGCTTTCACAAATAACAACAGATTAAGTCTAAAAATTTACGTCACTATGTATAAAGGCAACAACACATTATAAAGTTAACAGAGAATATGAAATTAATTAACAAGAGTACAGTAACAAATAGTGAATTTATACAAATATATATACATATACATGCTGTACATATATATACATATTATATACATATATTGCTGAAAACTGCATTAAAATCCGTTGCGTAGTTTAAAAGATACAAGCGAACAGACAGCCGCAACGAATTTGTTTTATACTATACTAGCTATTCGCCCCGGCTTCGCACGGGTGTACATGTATTATACATATAAACCTTCGTCTTAAATCACTCTATATATATTAAAAAGAACCGCTTCAAAATCCGTTGCGTAGTTTTAAAGATTTAAGCATACATAGGGACGGACAGACAGCGACAGCGACTTTATTTTATACTATGTAATGATAAAGATATATATATTTGATAATTATATCCATATCCTAGTGGATATGGATATAATTATCAAATATAAGTAAATACTAGTAATAAATTTAAATATAATATAACTGAATATATTATGTACCTACAATGATGGTAATTATATATTATCAAATATATATAACGGAACGGAACTACAGCTGAATATCACAAATCTTCAAAACCCTCACCACAACCTTATTAATCATTTTTAAGTTTTTGATCGGGAGGAAATAATTGACGAAAAATAACTCTGGCTCGCGGACTATACATATATACGTTTTTTATTACGACGTTTACGTGTATCAACTCCACGTTATCTTACATTTCTATCATTAATTCATTCATTATTATCATTAATGTGTTCATTTAACACGGTATTTATCGGTTGGAACATTATTTAATCATTAAGTTTCATGTTAGTTTAGAAATATTTATCGGTTTTAATTGATAAGTGGCTCATTTAATACTATTACTAGGATAACCAACTGATCTAATTTTATCAGGATATCCCGATTGCAGACCCCTATATCCCTATAAGATGCTATACCACTTATCCGGTAATAACACATATATTTATTTATTTATTTTTGTTTATAGTCGCCATCGTCATAAGCGCCATCAAATATAAGAAATTCAAATTCATAAATAATTTATTAATATAGGATATTTTAGCCGCTTATGAACGTCAAGTTTTTACATTATAATTTTTTTCCCTACCATCCAGTTCGGTATATAGATTCAATTGAGTAGAACTGGTAAGAAACTCAATTGAATTACTTTTTTTTTTTTAGTTGCCAGTTTAATTACAATGTATATTTATATAGTTGTCTATGTCTATCATTAAATGAAAATCCCGTGCATGAACAACTATTGCCATGCACGCTCGTCATTCAAGTAATCGTTTAGTGAGTAATAGGCCTTGCTCAGTAAATATGATTTAACAGATGTTTTGAATTTATTTAAGGGTAATTCCAATATATCTTTTGGTATCTTATTGTAAGTTTTTATACTTATTCCCATAAAAGACCTATTGACAAACGTTGAAGACAGACTTGCTGTACCCAAGTATCGTTTAGAAAAAGTCAATGGGTCTTTTATGAGAATACATATAAAATTTTACAATAAGATACCAAATGATATACTTGAATTACCCTTAAATAAATTCAAAACATCTATTAAATCATATTCACTGAGCAAATCCTACTCACTAAACGATTACTTGAATGAGGAGCGTGCATGGCAATAGTTGTTCATGCACGGGATTTTCATTTAATGTTAGACATAGACACCTATATAAATATACATTGTAAATAAACTGGCATTTAAAAAAAAAGTAATTCAATTGAGTTTCGAACCAGTTCTTCTCAATTGGATTTATAAACTGAACTGGACGGTAGGGAAAAATTATAGTATAAAAATTTGACGTTCATAAGCCGCGAAAATGTCCTACATTAATAAATGATTTTTTAATTTGAACACATCGCAGAATCCAAGGTTTCCCTTTCATACTAGTCCAAGAATTGGCCAACCTAGCTATTACCTACCAGCAGTGACGTAGGTTCCTTATCATTGGAACAAGGCAATTATCAAATAAAACGTTATAGTATTGTGGTAGGTAATTAAGGATCCATTTCATTAATTGTAAGGAAACACGCCTTCGTATCTATTCTTATCTTCACGGTAGGGCTCTTTTTAAAAATATATAACCCATCAAAATCTTCGTTGTGGTACAAAAGAAGAGGCGCACAAACAGGGTCAATAGGAACCATTGTGACACTGCACTCACTGGGCCCAACTTTCTGCTGCGTGCTGCTACACCGATCACGACAATGTACCTGTCTCGTCTACTTACGCCACTAAGGAACAGGTCATTGTCGATTATATTCGTACTAAGAGTAACCTGACATTGAGGGTGACGCAGCTGGAATCGAGCCACAACGTGAGTTTCAAGGCGTTTGTGGGCCGGGTTGGGCTCCCCACCAACATGCTGCCCACCTTCTTGAAGGAGGACTACTGGCCGAAGGGTGTGGTGTATGGGCGCTACCGTGGCAGATTGCCGCCGTCAGTGCCGTGACCACACAGACAATATCAATATCTTAATTTTATATATTTCATATGTATGTTAGTCTATAAGGTATTTATAATGTGGGCCTAGTAGCCTGAAATACATAAATAAATAAATAAACTAAAAAAAAAAGAAAATTGACACAGCGCCATCTATGCAGTCCTAAGAGAGAGCTCATCTCCACGGTTAAAAATTAATAACTGGTGCAAACAAAAAAATGCCAATTTTAAAATATGCGTAGACAACAAAAATATCCTATTTTTATATATTTTTAAAGTATTTAAATAGGGAAAAATTATCTCAGTTGATCGACCTAGATAAGAGGCTTACGTTGTAAGCTCTCCTAAAAATGGGCTGCGACCTTACATTGATCTAGATTGGATGCCCTCATTGTTAATACTTCTGTAGATATAAAAGTATAAATCTTGTGAGAGTGGCGATGGGTTTTAAAGGGCTTATGTAGGAATTACTAAGTAGGTTAGTCTCTGCAAATGTATCTAACTCGCAGAGGACATACGCATGTATCTAGTGGCGTAGTTAGGTAACCAAGGGCCCTGGGGCAAATCAAAAAATAGAGCCCCACAGTGGGGCCTTATATTACAGTTTTATTAATACGCACATATAGACGACACTTCCAACCCACAGAAAGAATTTAGGGGAATTCCAAGGTATAACTTTTGAATTTCTCTCAACTGAGTTGCCAAGATTAAAATCGGGTTTCAAACTGACATATTTATTTTGAAAATGGCAAAAATTTTGAAAAGTCCAATTCGATCGAGATTTTCTGGTAAGGGTTCGAGGGCCTCCTGAGCTTGAGCTAGCTAGCTAGGTAGCTACGCCACTGCATGTATCATATAGAATAACAATGGCATCACTTTGTATGACCCGTCTTCAGTACCAGTTATGACAAGAGATATAATATTAACACCTATCCTTGGACAATTCACACAGCGCCATCTATTTTGAGTTTTTTTCATGAAATCAAAGATCATTCTTTCATGTAGGACCACTTAGTCACTTCATATTGTTTCACATACAGACGGTAGGATTCAACAGAGTTCAGATTACTGTTTCAGTTGAGAAAAACTGATACGAAACTCAATTGTTTTCATTTTATGAGCAAATAATGTCACCAGATGTACTATATCTGTTCACATTATTCGCTCACTCAGGTGTCTAAATATAAAGTTAATTAATGTATATATATAAAGTAAAAAGTCGTCGCCGCTGTCTGTATAGCTTATATCTTTTCAATAACGCAACGGATGCAGTTTTCAGAAATTGATAGAGTGATTCAAGAGAAAGGTTATATGTATAGCTATCTACTTGCCCCGGCTTCGCCCAGGTGTACATGTATTATACATATAAACTTTCCTCTTGAATCACTCTATCTATTTAAAAAAACAGCTTCAAAATCCGTTGCGTAGTTTTAAAGATTTAAGCATACATATGGACGGATAGACTGCAACAGCGAGTTTGTTTTGTACTATGTAATGATACGCGTGTTATAATATGTTCATAAGCGGCTAAAATGTCCTACATGAATAAATGATTTTCGAATTTGAATTTGAATTTGAACAAGCCGAGAAATTCAAAGATTTGTAATGCATCCGTGTGAAGCCGGGACGCGTCGCTAGTAAAATACAAAAATAACTTCAAATTAACAATTCCATACATGTACAAATGAACGCCATCGAGTAATCATTTACAACGTAAAAACAGGTTTCGTAATTTGTTTTTAAAAGGAGTTTCAGGGCGGAATTTATTTTAGTGATTTTGTTATCGAGCAGTAATAGCAATTGTAATAATAATAATCTCAGGACAATTCACACAGCGCCATCTAGACCCAAGTTAAGATAGCTAAAGCTTGTGTTATGGGTCCTAGACAACTGATAAAAATACATAGATAATTTTTTTTCGTAAATACATACATATTATACATAGAAAATACCCAGACGGATACAAATAATCATACTCATGAATACAAATGTTTGTGCCGTGCGAGGAATCGAACCCGCGATCATCGGACGTAAAGCGGTGTGTTAGACCGCTAGACCACCGAAGTTGACAAATTGTCAATTGTCAATTGAATCTGTTTTTTTTTTCGGACTAATCTAATGCTGTTGGCCGCAGCTGGCCTTTACAGCTTCACCGGACGTTAGGGGGCGAGTGCAGATGGCACTCCAAACCCGCGGAAGGACTTATGGAGCGGCTGAAGGCCAACTCCTGCCTGACGGACACGACTTTAGTCTGAGGGCACCGCTAGGGGTTCGAACCTCGGCTCAGGCCGTCGTAATTTCGATCCCCGTTTGAATTGGACGGGGGATCGATCGGAGGGGAATTGAATCTGTATATTGAACTGGATGGTAGGGAAAAAATATTAATACAAAAAAATTACGTTAATAAGTTGTTGAAATGATAAATAAATGATTTTTGATTTGATTTGATTAAAAGGAAGCAATCTGAGTCATATTTTGGATAATTAAACAGCCGCCAGCCAACTCGCGATCAACATAAAAGCACGTTTTTTATCTCATGATGGCAGTCACACGCGAGCCTCCTACCGTGTGCAGTTCACATTATAACAAAAAGAAAAACGTAATTATTAAATAATGAAACCATAAATAATATTGTATTAGTTCGTTTTATAAAAAAAATTGACTATAGTAAATATAGTGAACCGGTGATTTTGGATTTACAGTTTGAGCTACTGTGCTGATTGAAATTTTATTAAAAATGGTACGTCGGTTTTGAGTTTAAAATACTGTAAGACATTTAGGTGTCTTTATTGGGTTTTATATCCTTATCATATTTATTTGTGGTCGTCGTAATATGTTTTTCTCTTCCATTCATCCCTGTTCGCAGTCATCTCGTTATTTACTCCCTTTCTCACCATATCATCTTTCACACAGTCCTTCTATCTCTTTTTCGACCTTCCTCTGCCCTTATAACTATCCACATTCATATGTAACACTTTCCTTAAAATATTATCTTCATTCCTACGCATTACATGCCCATACCACGACAGACTCTTACCATATCATCTTTTACACAGTCCATTTAAAGTCGATATAATAATTGAATCATTCTATTTAAAATAATGTAAGATATTTAGGTGTAATTATAGGGTGGTAGAGAGGGTAAGATACCACCGTAGCTCAGCCACGTTTCTTCATTGTTTCTTCTCTCTTTCTTGTAATAACATAATAAATGCGTCTTGTTAATTATAGTGAGTTTTTTAAATAGTCACTAATCACTACGACTGATTTACTCTTATTTAGTTACTCAAACACTTGATTTTATATTTAATATTTTCTCTAATTGAGTATTTAATTGAATTAGTGCTAATTGGTAGTTTGTATTCACACACTTAAACTTGAAATGTAAAGTAACAATAAAATTATTTAAAAGTGCAACACGTAAGTTTCTTGCTCGTTCTTCTTGTGGTGAGACAGCTTTCCGAATGAACGGTAGGTTAAAAAAAATGTGATGACTATTCAAAAGTGCTTCAATGTAAGTTTATTTGAATAAATGATTTTCTTTTATTGTTATGGTCATATTGTCCTAATTATTATCCTTATGTGTCCAGGGCCTCTTATAGATGAATGACGGCCCTGGTTATATCAGTCAGAAATGGAAACCAGTCCGAAATATTCTAACTGCTATTGATACTTTATAATAACAATAATAATAATCTCAGGACAATTCACACAGCGCCATCTAGACCCAAGTTAAGCTAGCTAAATCTTGTGTTTTGGTTACTAGACAACTGATACAAATACATTTTTTTTTGTAAAAACACACATTATACTTAGAAAACACCCAGACCTATACAAACAATCACACTCATGAATACAAATGTTTGTGCCATGCGAGGAATCGAACCCTCGACCATCGGACGTAAAGCGGTGTGCCAGACCGCTAGACCACCGAGGTCGTCAATAATGTTGATTAACATAGTCTCATTATAAAATCATTACAAATAAATTAATAAGTATTTGTTTAATAAAAAACCTGTTCTGCTACAATCAGTTTTGACAACATAAGGGAGTATTACATTAGCAAATATGTTGTTTCCTGACTTTATAGATACGCTCTTTCGCGCGCGAAAAGTGCTCTCTTTCATGAGAGAAAGAGAGACGCGCGCGCCATGTAAATCCCGCGTTTTTCAATCGTGGGTGCTTTAGCGTTAATAAAAATGCAAAATGGCGGACATTTAACTACGAAACCAAGACAAGATATTATAGAGTTCTTGATAATTTATTTTTAAATATAACCTGTGGAATAAAATATAATGTTAGCCAGTGACAATGAAAGTGTGACGACATGTGACAGACAATGAATAAAATACAAGCATTCAGGCGCGTAAAAGTGAAAAAAATAACAATCACTCACATTTGCGTGGCAAGTTTTCCCGCTCTGTATCGCGCGCGAGATCAATTCTTGCTTTATATTCATGATTCCAAAATGCACATCTTTGATAATGTAATACCCTCCTTAAAACACTAATATGTTCAAGGTGATTTTACCTATTAACATTTTAATAACAAGAGAGTGGAACTACGGGTTTGTTTGATACAGAAATAATTTAAAAATTTAAAATATAATTGAACTTTCGTATTTAGTACATATTATTAATATAGTGACATATTATTATAATAGCCTTTTATTCAGATGTAACATTTAATTTTTCAGCTGTTTACATTCAAATTCAAATTCAAAATATCTTCATTCATGTAGGTCTATTACAGACTCTTATGATATGTCAAATCTACCGTCAGTTCGGAATGATTTCGAGATGCGAAGAACTGACAAGAAACTCAGCTCGTATTTTTTTTTAATGTTGTACATATTTATAATAATACTATTTCATTTAAATTCAAATTTGGGAGAATAGAGTGACCACCAGCATATGCTATATAAAAAAAATCAAAAAATTTAATCAGTGTTCGCAACCTGAACAGACCAATCCCCACATGTTCACGAGTATGACGGATAATATTTATAATAATAAAATTTATAGGAAATAGAAATCTTTGTTCAAATAAAATCAATACAAGCACTTTTGAATAGTCATACTTTGGATTCTACCACTCATTCGGAACGCAGATTCATCACAAGAAGAATGAGTAAGAAACTTGAATGTTACTCTTTTGCATAGAGATTATTTAAAATTAATAATTACACAGTAACAAGTAAGTGGCATGCGATAAACAACATAGCAACTGCTACGCACTCTATCCTAGTCCAGATTTTCTAAATTAACAAGTTTCTCTAGATTCAGACGATTGTATATCGTCCGGTGTAGCTGTAAAGGCCAGCTGCGGCCGACAGCATTAGAGTAGTCCAAAACAAAAAGATTCCGACGAGCAGACAACGTACCATGAAGCAATTCTTTCTATAGTGTTAGCTTCAATACATAAAGAACACTCGGTTGACTAATTTGTTACTTGCATTCAAATTTAAAACCATAGCGAGACACGTGATGTCGGTGGCGTCACGATTATGCCGCTACCAATAGGAATAGAGATAAAGAGGCCGGGAACAAGGAGGGAGTGGGCTGCTCTCTCTCTGTTCGAGGCGACAGAGACGACCAGACGTGAATGTACAGCGACGCAATTTATGTGGAGTGTAATTTGAAAAAGGAATAAAATAAAAGTACAGCTGCATCAACGTATCATTTCTGAAACTTCCCAATAATAGATACTAGTATTCAGTCAGCAATGACTAATAAGCACAAATTCTATTAAAAATCACAACAAAAATAAAAAAAACTGTTATACAACAGTAAGCAATTAAAACGGTTATTTTTACCGTAATTTCATGAAATTTCACGTAATTAGTAACGCAACGTAAAACGAGATAACACCTAATATTTTCGCAGTATTGAAAACAAGTTACCTAGCGATCAAATCACAGATTCGAGCTATGAACAATAACTGGAGCACTATTGTTCTGAGCAAATCACCATACAATCGAGTTGTTGAGCACTACTTCCTGAAACAGTAATTTTATGTACAGTGTATGTGATGAAAACCGTAAAACTAGAAATAGAAAATCCTTATTCAAATAAACTCATTACAAGCTCTTTTAAACAGTCATATTTTGATTTTACCACTTATTCGGAACGCAGATTCATCACAAGAAGAATTAGCAAGAAACTTGTAAAATAATATGTATATTATACATATAAACCTTACAGAAGAATTTCACAAAAGTATAGCAAAAACCGTATCAAAATCCGTAGCATAGATTAGAAGAACAACGCAATAAGCTAGAAAATGATGACTTCGCTTTATGCTATTATTTAATTTTAGATAGATAGATGGATAATTTTTTTATTTACGTTAAAGGCAAACACACAAGTACTTAACGAATTTATATTATTTTGTTTAAATCCGTTACCATTAGCATGTATGAGACCACAAATTTTAGTGCGGAAACCTGACCACCGCTACTGGAAGCCTTACGATCTTCTCTATTAGTGATCAAAGTCTGACTGTTGTTGGATCTACTGGGTGTAGATTTTAAATTGGTATTGCGATAAACATATCTCCTCTAAACGAGGCATCATCAAGCAATGAATAGAGTTCGGATATAGTTTGGAAGTCCGGTGTTGACTGTTCAAATACAATTCAAATTAACATTTATTCATGTAGGAATTTTTGGCCGCTTATGAACGTAAAATTTTTTACGTTATAATTTTTTCCCTACCGTTCAAGTCGTCTTCCCTATCGCCCAGTTCGGCGTCTGAGACGTACTCTGCTAGTGGAATTAAACAAAACAATACAAATCCATTAAGTAATTCACTGTATCACACGTGACAAATACCAGTTTATCCAGTATACCAACCATTCATGATATAATTCGCCTTATCGTAAAACGTCAAGAAGAATTTTTGTCATGTCATGCGAAATTATACGCGTATTTTTAGTGTTTGTTGTAGTCTAACAATTGTTATTTATAAATTTTAATACAATCACGGCTATAATACCAAATAGGTAGTTACAGAGTTTGTTAACTGTCGACATTGTGTGTCCAATATTGCCGTGCCTAAATTTCGCGTTATTTCAAATCCATGGCAGGGAGGATCTACCGCCATGTATTTATTTAAATTGGTTTAAAATTTATGTTTCGATCACCACAAGATCTTATTTGAAATAGAAATGGTAGTAACGATTTTAAAGATGACATTTTTGTTGTACCAGAACCTAAATTTGAAGCTTACAATCTGCATCGTCTGCGCGGTGTTCATTCACACCGCCTACAGTCAAAATTCTGGAAATATCTTCGAGACTGGAGCAAAATTCCTGCAGAACGGCAGCAAACTAGGAGGAGATAAACTGAAGGAAACAGGGAGCAAGCTGGTGGAAGGGGGGACTTCTGTGGTCGAAGAAGGCACGCAAGCCTTGAAGAATTTCAGTAAGGGGGTCCAAGGAGAAATTGTAGCGGTCAAGCAACCGTTGACCAAAGCGGCAGCTACTATTGTCTTCAGCCAATGTACGTATCAAAAATATTTTTCACGCCATCTACCGTCAGTTTAGTAACTAATTCGATGTGGGTATAATTCAGAGCATAGTACACACCCCTCCTGAGATTGGGACAGATAGTCTGCACTGCCGATGGTCGCGGGATCGATTCCTTGCACAGTGCAAACATTTGTATTCATGAGTATGATTGTTTGTATCCGTCTGGGTGTTTTCTATGTATATTCTGTATCATCATCTGCTTCTTCCTTTTCCCATTTATTCGTGGTCAGCGTAATGTTTTTCTCTTCCATTCATCCCTGTTCGCAGTCATCTCGTTATTTACTCCTTTTCTTACCATATCATCTTTCACACAGTCCATCCATTTCTTTTTCGGTCTTCCTCTGCCCTTATAACCATTCGCATTCATATGTAACACCTTCCTTAAGATATGATCTTCATTCCTACGCATTACATGTCCATACCACAACAGACGATTACTCTTCAACCTCTCCGACACCGGCGCCACTTTCATATTTCCTCTGATGTATTCATTCTTTATCTTGTCCATCTTTGTCACACCACACATCCATCTCAACATTATATGTATATGTATTTATATCAGTTGTCTAATACCCATAACAGGGGAAAGGGGGTTGTTAGTAATATGGCCTGATGATCCCACTGCTAACAATGTACCATATCAGATCGACCTCCACGCGGTTCCCTTGGAAACCATCGTGATACATTCCTGGTGAATTTGTCACGATGGGCTAACTGATCTGACTTCATGTTCATCTTATCATCCTCCACTGGTACCCCGCCAGCGTATACCGTTAGCGCAGGGGGGAACACCATTTCATTATTATCCTTTAAAAAAACCCATAACAGAAGCTCTGTATAAGTTTAGGTAATCATTAATTCATTGTGGAGATGCTTTCAATCATTACTTCTTGTAGGTTTTTTTCTTTACCAGAAACTACTCAGACGGCATTTTAATGTAAATATGTATCCCATCAAAAACATAAATGTGAAATGATAGCCGAGTTTAATATTATGATATATGCCTGGATTGTTGACTTCTACGACAAAAGAGATGAGATCTAAATGGGTGCCAAGTTCAACGGTCTGTCCTGAAATGTATTTATAACAATATAAAATATCATTTCTTCTTATAACTTAGGATAATATACTGTAGCCTAAGGTCTAACTTGGCTAGATTTCATTTTTTTCTTTATATTCACCTAATTACCTATCTGCATGCCAAATTTGAACTTCCTAGGTCATCTGGAAGTGGGTTATAATTTTGATCTATAGTTGATCAGTGATAAAAATGACGATATTTGGACGTTAATATCTAAATAACCGTTTGAGATATATTTATGAAATTTGGAACACATATTTATCTCGCAAGTCTCAATATATGAACCAAATTTGACAGGTTTATGTGAAAGAGTTTTTGAGTTATGAGGGGGTCAAAAGTGGCTCCAAATGGTTCGTGTAAATATACACATGGTGCTGCTCGCCAGTTCTCTTACTTCAAACTCGGCTTGACACGCTACCGCGTGTCTAGATTCATTGTGGAGATGCTTTCAATCATTACTTGTTGTAGGTTTTTTTCTTTACCACAATTGCGTCATAAATTCAAATTAGAGTTGTGGAGGCACTCAGACGGCATTTTAATGTAAATATGTATCACTTAGTTCGTGATTTGAATGATTAAACATATTTAATACACCACTCAGTGAATTAGAATAGAATAGAAAAAAAAACTTTATTTACTTTTTAAATAATAAGTTTATTTGAATAAAGATTTGTTTTTCTATTCTATTTAAGCACTGTTAAATGGTCATAATTTTTTTTTAATCTGAGATTACTATTATTATATTTTTTTTTTTCAGGCGAGCCCGTCAAACAGCTGTTTGGTCTGAAATACGAACAGCTGGAAGGCGAGAGTGAGCCGGATGTTAATTCTCTAACGCTGAAATACATATCGAAGTAAGTGGCAAATACATACATTTTTGTTTCGCCTGAAAAGTAATAATAATAATCTTAGGACAATTCACACAGCGCCATCTAGACCCAAGTTAAGCTAGCTAAAGCTTGTGTTATGGGTACTAGATAACTGATACAAATACATAGATATTATACATAGAAAATACCCAGACGGATACAAATAAATCGTTAGACTATCATTTTTCTTGGGATCCTAAACTTGATAAATCAATTCAAAATATCTCATTATTTATGTACGTCTACTACAGACTCTTATACATATAAATAAAATTGGAGTGTCTGTTTGTAATATTGAAATAAACGTTTTTTACTACATGCATATGAATATAAATACGGTACATGCACCAAAATTACATTTCTTTAAATTTTTTTCTGTCTGTCTGTTTGTTCTGGCTAAGCTCTAAAATGGCTGGACCGATTTTGACGGGACTTTTTTTTGGCAGGTAGCTGATGTAATAAGGCGTAACTTAGGATTTATGATATGTCAAGTCTACAGTCAGTTCGGAATGATTTCGAGAAAAGTACTGACAGGAAACTCAGCTCATATGCTTTTCAAATATTGTTTCCAATAATAGAGATTCATTTTTTAATTCAAATTTGGGAGAACAGAGTGACCACCGGCATATGCTATTGCAAGTTTGTCAAAAGCAAATAGTGTAATCAGTGTTCAGATCAGTTAAGGAGTTAACAGAAAATTTATACATACTTTTCTGAGATAACTTATCTGTAACATACTATATGTCACAATCACATTTTTTTTGCATATCGTCGGTTAAATAGAAAAATGTTAATTTTAAATTTATTTAAATTTTTCCCTATAAAGTTTTAAACTCAGAAGTATTGTATATCATTTTAAAAGTGTTTAGATAATGATTAAGACGGCGTGGTTAATTTAATTGACTTATATAAAAGGAGGCAATTCTAGCTTCTAATTTTGAAGAATATCATTTTTCTATTTAATCGACGATATATAAAATAGGAAAATTGTCTAATCGTAACCAGAACAGACCAGTACAAGCAGCACTCGTTCACGAGTATGACGAATATTGAAAATCTTTTTCAGGGACGTCAATGTGAGTTATAATATTAACTCTGCTGCTAAGCTGCTATCTCTGGAGAAGCAGTATAACGATAGAGACCATCTGATCATCTACCTGCACGGGTTCACAGACGACCCTGGCCAGACCAGCTTTCAGACGGTGAAGGAGGCGCTCTTCAGACGAGGTGAACTATTTTTTCTACCTAATAATTTAATAATTCTTTTATTGGAACTAAAAACATAAAAATATATAATATTTTACAAAGTAGGGTAGTGTACCGATAACAGCCACAATAGTAAGTAATACTGTCTCGTGGCAGTCAACGCCCACCTCCTTAAGACAGAGGCGATAGCGTTCCGGTAGCAAATACAATAAATTTATATAATAAAAAATAATAAAAAGCAAAGCAAAGAAATGCATGATTACGTTTACAACATAACTTTGTTAACTATCGTGTGACGCACCATTAAGTAAAAATGGTAGTCAATAATCAAGTAACCTGAAACGGAACGTCAGAGGCCAGAGCCAAAGTAATCTATGTGACATTGACAAGTGGATGACGGATGATTGAACGTAGGCAGCGGGAGTTTTGGAGCGAAAGTGTTTATATTATTATAAAAACAAATAAGAGATAGGTAATTGTGAATATTGTAGGATTGAGGTGTTTCTCTCCCTGACCAACCGGCATTACGCCTAAGACATCAGGATACTAGTGATTTCAATAACTTTTAGGAAGATAAATAAGTTAAATTAAATACAAAATTCTTAGCAAACATTCACTAATTAGGTTACCTGTATGTAAAAATATTACAATGAAAAAACTTATGACGAACGAACGAATGCTGAATGTAATTGAATGTTTATGATTTGTAGTGAGCATAATTCGATTTGATGTGTTATTATATAGATCTGTAAGTATATGTATCTGTGTGAATGTATATGTTGGATGGTATGGATATGAGTTTTTTTATTATATATATTCGAGTATATTTTAAACCTTTACGAGATTTTCAGTGTCGTCATAATCTAGTATCTGAAGCCATTGAAACAACAATATTTTAGATTCGCGGAGTGTATGTGAATAAATGGAAACTACCTTATTAATTTTGTTATATAACACTGAACCAAGAAATTGATATTGCCGTCACACTACTGCAAGATTAGATGATTGAGTTGGACAAACTATACTACGTTTATGATGAAAGTTAGGGTTGAAAGCTATATCTGAATGTCTACGGAGTACGCTCCTGAATATGTATGTCTGTCTTACGGTCAGTACATTACAAAGGGAATACAATTCTTTAGTGGGATAATAATAATAATCAGAGATGTTAGGGAGCTCCGTAACCGTAACCGAAACTGTCGGATATCCGATATAAAAGAATATTCGTAACCGTAACAGAATCCGTAATAATGGAAAACAATAGAATCGAAAATCATTTATTCAAATAACCTTACATTGAAGCACTTTGAATAGTCATATCATTTTTATATATAGCAGGTATAGCAGGTAGCTGTACATCAGCTAAGGAGTAACTTAAGCTACTTTTATTTTAGAAAAAAAAAGTTAAATTCCACGCGGACGAAGTCGCGGGTGCAGCTAGTGTATTACATATATAAACCGTCCTCTAAAATCACTCTATCTATTAAAAAAAATCGATACAAAATCCGTTGCGTAGTTTTAAAGATTTAAGCATACATAGGGACAGACAGCGACAGCGACTTTGTTTTATACTATGTAATGATGTGATACGTATATAAGATGATTATCTTAGATATATATAGTTGTTTACGTTGATTGTAATAGAAACTCGATTTGCTGCATAGCACGCGATCCGAGCAGTTATTGCGACATTTATCCGTAATTTCCTTGAATTTATTGTACTTAGCTATAATAATATGTTTCTGCATTGCTTCCACATTATCTATGTACCTACACATGTACTAGAAATTTATTAAAAACTCTGTGGTTGCTCGGTTTTTTTTTTATACCACGTAGGTAGCAAACATACGGCCCATCTGATGGTAAACGGTTACCGCAGCCTATGGACGCCTGAAACACCGGGGTGTCACGTGCGTTGCCGACCCTTAAGAAACCTTTATATACCCTTCTTGAAAAACCCCATGCTGTAGTGTCTCGAGAAAACCTCGGCAGGTAGTTCATTCCATAATGTAAGTGTACGCGGGAGGAAGCTCCTCTGAAACCACTTAGGTTCCAGCGTGTGGGGATGAATTCCCTGTCGATGGCGAGCGGTGCGATGGTAAAAGGTAGCCGTAGGCATCATGTCAAACAATTCATCAGAACACAGTCCGTTGTATATACGGTAGAACACACAAAACAATGCGTAGTCTCGCCTCAAGCTAAGTGGCTCGATACAGTATATTATTCGGTGGTCAGACTTACTTTAAGCATACATAGGGACGGACAGACAGCGACTTTATTTTGTACTATGTAATGATTTAACATTCAGTAAGACAAATAATATTGTGAGTCAGAAAAAAAAGGTCTGTATGTATGGGAATGAAACACCGGATAAACAAAAGCAATTTAGTTTAATATTTGTATATAAGTAACTAACTTTTGCCCGCGGCTTCGCTCACGTTAATTTATCCCCTTAGGGGTGGAATTTCTCAATTCTTTACTTAGGGGATGCCTACGTCATAGTAGCTTTATGCATGCAAAGTCTCAGCCCGATCGGTTTAAAATTGATAAAGTTTCATACAAACTTTCATCCCCTATTTTATCCCCTTGGGGGTAGAATTAATCAAAATCCTTTCTTAACTGATGCCTACGTCATAACATCTACCTGCATGCCAAATTTCAGCCCGATCCGTCCAGTGGTTTGGGCTGTGCGTTGATAGATCACTATGTCAGTCAGCTTTGAGTTATATATATTTAGATAATTGCTAAGCTCAGTCAAACAGTTTAGTAAACCGTTATATATTTGCAGGATTAGATAATGTATTGGCACTGGATGGTGGTCACCTACTCCGCTGGCTGTACCTCCGCTCTACAACCTACGTGAGGTTCCTGGGGGAGAAGATTGGTGAAGTACTCGCGGCTATGGTACATAGTAAGTACAGTTTAACTGCACATAATTGTAGTCCTGAAAATTCGCTGAAAATCAGAGCTGTAATTTCAGCTACAACAATATACTGAACGGAGTCTCTTTTTAGCCAACATTTTATAGTAGCATATTGATTTTTTATTGTTTTATTATGTTGGTGTGACTGTATGTGTGTATGTATATATCTGATATAAATACATAGATTTTTTTATAAATATATTGTAAGAAGCACTAATTAATGATGACGACTTAGGATTTGAAGCTACCACAACAGAAACCTCAAGTAGCGCCCGTGACTTGTGACACGGGTGTAGGTTTAAAAGGCTCCTTTAGAATGCATTAACACTCACCTTCACTACTTGCAGCTTCCCCCCAGGCCCAACTAAGACCGGGATAAACCCATTCCTAATACAATTCACTTTAGTATCCAAAACACAACTGGTACGCTCTGCGCTCGACGGCTCACCCAACGAAAGAGGATTATTCAACTACCGACCTCCGTATTTATAGACCGAAGTCAATGTAGTAGGTCGATCTATAAATACTAAATGGCGCTATTTACAATATTTGTAATAATCTTTACATTGGGTACTTCATTAGTACTAAACACAGACTACCTTCTTTTAATAATATTTTAAAATATCGGACTTTTTCTACGATATTGATGTGAACTCTAACAATATACATACATACAAACACCAAGACCGATACAAACAATCATACTCATGAATATAAATGTTTGTATCGTGCAAGGAATCGTACCCGCGACCGAATTGTTTGTATCTGGGTGTATTCTATTTAGAATATGTATTTACGAAATAAAATATATCTATGTATTTGTATCAGTTATCCACTAGCTCTAGCTAGCTTAACTTGGCTTAAAAGATGGCGCTGTGTGAATTGTCCTGAGATTATTTATTACTTATTAATATCCCTAATACATCTGATCACCAGTAAAAGTATTGAAAAAAACGTTGGATTTTGTTCTCAAATTCCACTAATTTGTCAGGTGGTGTGAACCCCGCCACAATCCACATCGTCGGCCACAGTTTGGGTTCCCAGATCGCTGGCTTCACAGGAAAGACCTTCACAAACCTAACCGGGCAGCATATAGGCCGGATAACGGCTTTGGACCCGGCCGGGCCGTGTTTCGCGCAAGTTGAACCGGATTTGAGAATTAAAGCATCTGACGCCGAATATGTGGATGTTATACATACAAATGCTGGTATTGCGGGCATGGAAGAGCCCGTTGGTAAGTGTATTTATTTATTTACAAGCTTTTGCCCAAGGCTTTGCTCGCATTAATTTATCCCCTTAGGGGTAGAATTTATTAAAATCCTTTCTTAGGGGTTGCCTACGTCATAGTAGATTTATGCATGCAAAGTCTCAGCCCGATCGGTTTAAAATTGACAAAGTTTCATACAAACTTTCATCCCCTTGGGGGTAGAATTAATCAAAATCCTTTCTTAGCGGATGCCTACGTCATAACATCTACCTGCATGCCAAATTTCAGCCCGAACCATCCAGTGGTTTGGGCTGTGCGTTGATAGATCACTATGTCAGTCACCTTTGAGTTATATATATATATTTAGATTTAAAAATTTTATACAACTAGCTGTACTCGCGACCTGTCCGCGTGGAATTTAACTTAATTTTTCTAAAATAAAAGTGGTCTATGTTACTCCTTATTACATCAGCTATCTGCCAAAAAAAGTCCCGGCTAATCTCTGAAATGGCTGGACCTAACAGTAGGCTACTTTTATTTTAGAAAAATAAAGTTAATTTCCACACAGACGAAGTCGCGGGTACAGCTAGTAAAAAATATAAATCTGACACTGAATTCTATTCTATTAGTTTTTTTCGGACTACTCTAATGCTGTTGGCCGCAGCGGGCCTTTACAGCTTCACCGGACGATAGGGGGCGAGTGTAGATGACACTCCAAACCAAAGGAAGGACTTATGGAGCGGCTAAAGGCTAACTCCCGCCTGACGGATACGACTTTACTCTGAGGGCACCGCTAGGTATAAACTATGACCTTTAATACCAGGTGATGCAGATTACTACCCCAACGGAGGTTCAGAGCAGACAGACTGCGTGCTGGCCACTTGCAGCCACAGCAGAGCATGGTTGCTATTCGCGGAGTCAGCAGTAAACCCAAAAGCGTTCCCAGCCATCAAATGTGAAAGTTGGACTGCATTCAAAAACGGAACTTGCGACAAACAGATAAGGTATGTTTTTTAATCCCGGAGACAAATTTGACATTTCAATGTTGCCAAGTTTATGCATTTTTTAAATGGGGTTGTGGCACTATCGGAAATTTATATTAATTAGGAATTTTTATAGCATATTCAGAAATAATGTGTGGGTGTTTATTTAAAAAGCATTAATATAAAAGGTAGGTATTAATAAATATATGGTTGTAAATAATTTACAATTTGAACGTGTTATGAAAACAGCTAACGTATAATTTTGAATGCAGCTGTCTTTAGTGGACTGTATTTACGACAATAGGATTTGAGCAAGAAATTGATAATTTGGAAGGCACTCACCTTGTATTGCGAGGATTGCCGGTTCGGTTTCAGCAAGGTTTCCCAGAACTCCGGGCTTGTCTGAACTTACCTTTTGAACGGGTTACCTGTTTACCGCCAAAACCGACAATAGGTGCTTTCCAGTATCAACTCTTGCGTTCCTTTATTATTTCGTACTTAAACTAAATAATATTCACGAATTTAGTTAACAAATCTATATAAAATATCGACAATTACGACAGCGATAATTAAAACACTTTTTCGACGACGACAAAGGCGAAACGACTCCCACTCTCGTAATCTCTTTTTATTTTTTTACTTTTTTTTTATTATTTACGGCATTGGATATCGCGATAATGTTGCCGTGCGTATTATTGTGAATAGTGAACAGAACGAAAAGCACAAAAATATATTTTTATGCTGTATAAAACTAATGGAAACACTAGTATATGTATGTAAATATTAAAATTCTTTTGTGGAAACGTCATTTAAAGCTGTAAAACTAATTTGTTAAAATAAAAGTTTCCAATTAAACGAATCGGTATCGCAGGTACACCACTACCCGCTGTAGGACATTTACATCTGTCAATTTAGTCTCCGGAATTAAAGAACAGACTATAGCAGACTTTATTTATAATTAAACGGGTTTTAAAATGAATATTTTTATGGTAAACTAACTATCATTCTTGAAGGTCATTTTTGAAGGTAGAATGATGAAATTCTTCCATTCTTTTCTTTCTTTCTTTTTCATTCTTTTTTGGTTAATTGGATTACTTTACTGTTATAAATGCGAAAGTAACTCTGTCTGTCTCGCCAAAACTACTGAATCGATTTAAATGAAGTTTGGTACACAGATAGCCTAGATCAGAGGTTCCCAAATGTGTGTTGTAGACCCCTTGCCATATTTTTCGGTTTTGGGTAGACCCCCCCCCCATTACTGGTATTGATTTTTTGTAAATTCCTAATAGTAGTAAAGTTAGTGTTAAAAATATAAAGTAAAAACAACAAGATGACCGCAGACTCCTTGCAGTTTGTCATAGACCACTAGGGGTCGATACAGGCCACTTTGGGAATCACTGGTCTAGACCCTGAGTATATTTAATTTAATTTAAATTAAATAAAACATAATAGAATAATTCATTCATGTTAATGATTTTTGTAAAATGACCACTGTCGTAGACCCCTTGCAGTTTGTCATAGACCACTGGGGGTCGATATAGACCACTTTGGGAATCACAGACCCTGAGTATATTTAATTTAATATCAATTAAATAAAACATACTAGAATAATTCGTTCATTTATGTTAATGATTTTTGTAATATTTATTATTATTATTATATTTAGACACATCTTTCGGAAGCTAATATGTTGACATTTTTTTTACAGTTATATGGGCCTCCCGTCCAAACCAGGAACAAAGGGGTTGTACTATCTACAAACACTCGGGGAAGCACCCTACAGCCTGGGGATGAAAGGGGTGAAATATGAGGACGAAGGAGGCATTGTCAAAACATTACTTAGTGGTTAAATAAAATAGTGTATATGGGTGATTTGTATTTTATTTATTATTATTAATTATTCCTAAGGGTTGAAACAGAGAAGACTATACTGTGGAGGACAATTCACAGCGCCATCTAGTCCCAAGCTATACAGAACTTGTTTTATGGGTACTAGACAACTGATATAAATACATAGATACTTTTTCTTGTAAATACATAATTATATATAATAGTATAAAACAAAGTCGCTGTCGCTGTCTGTCCATCCCTATGTATGCTTAATCTCTTAATCTTTAAAACTACGCAACGGATTTTGAAGCTGTTTTTTTTAGTAGATACGAGTGATTCTAGAGGAAAGTATATATGTATAATACATGAACACCCGGGCGAAGCCGGGGCAAGTAGCTAGTATATAATATATATAGAAAACATCCAGACCAACACAAACATACTTATAAATATCATTGTTTGTACCGTGCGAGGATCGACCCCGCGACCATCGAAAGTGAAGCTATGTGTTAAACCGCTAGACCACTGTGGCTGACTTGGAAATCTTAGACGCTCTCATTAACTTTAAAATTCTAAAATAAAACCACTAAAATTTGAAACAAAGCATTTTATTGGAGTCTTCAGACAACTCTTGTTAAATAGAAAAAAATTGGGACATACGTACATACGTCTAGAAAAATAAACATCTTCAATAAATACGGGACATTAAACAACGCAGAACAGCAATGTACAGTCGGACAGGAAAGTCTGTTTACAATTTGCAGTCTTGGTATTTGGCCACTGTGTACTTCTAAAGCAGACAATGAAATATATATTTTAAACTTTAAAAAAAATGTACAAACACAAAAACTTGAATGCTATTTTTTATATGTAAAAAAAACACGATTGTGACACATAATATAACAGAAAAAATACCAGAAAACTTTTCTGTTACTTGCTTAACAAGTCTGTTCGTACGAACACTATAACGCAATAGCATATGCTGGTAGTCACTCTATTTTCACAAATTTGAATTTAAAAATGAATCTGCATTACTGTAAACATGTACAACATTTATTTGAAAAGAATACGAGCTGAGTTTCTTGTCAGTTGTTTTCATCTCGAAATCATTCCGAACTGACTGTAGATTTAATATATTATAAGAGTTTGTAATAGACCTACATGAATAAAGATATTTTGATTTAATTCTTTTAGAAGTTACAGAATCTTCTTCTGCAACTTCTAAAAAATATAAAAAGAAGAAGCAGTAGATGTGGGAGGATATCTATCCTTTGACAAGCTCTCCATGTTTCAGATAGCTAGAAATCTTTCATCCAGCACCACCATATTTTAATTTGATTTGATAACTTTTTAATTTGATTTCCTAATATTCTTTTTCTGTTACAATCTTAAAGAACTCTCCTATCACCGACTGTACACAACTAAATAGATATTCACAAATATGTCACCTCTACAACACAAGAGACATCGCTACTATCTTTTAACCCTTCGAACTTATTGACACAGATCTGTGCACACCTCTTAAACCGTATTACCGTCTTGTCGCAGATCTGTGCCTGCAAAACCGAGACTTTTTAACCAATTTCATCCTTATTTAAAACAAAATAAGATTGAAACGCATTTGAAAACAAAGCTGGCGCATACCGCCTTTTCACTTTCGTTCGCTGCGACAGACGCCGGACATTCGAAGGGTTAATCTTTTAATATCGACCTGCCTACAACAGTGTTGTCATATTTGGGAATATTACACAATAAAACCTTCAAATGTATAAAAAAAAGGACAAACACTACACATAAAAATCTGATTTTAAATCAGCGTCAATAACGTCGTAATATAAACTTAATTACTATAAAAAAAATTATATCTAGCGTGTATGTAATATATTAATTAATAATAATAATTGTACAATGTCGGTATCAACCTGCAAAACAATGTTCTTTGACTCCGCGGACTTATGACCGTATAATGTTACTGAGCATGGTTATTTATTTATTCATAAAAAAAATTGTGTAAAATAACATAATAATAATAATAATAATAATATCGAAATATTATAAGTTCGTCGTCTTCACTTTTGTCATCATTATATAACTCATCCACGCTTGGTTAAGGCCCGCGTGTTTGAACGTATTACCCCGTAAAACGGGAGATATATAAAATATATATATACATAATAATAATAATTGGTGATTTTTACCCGCAATGATAAGTCTATTACCCCATCAGAGGGAGATATATAATATATAAAGAAATAATAATAATAATATATAAAGTAACGAGAGAGATGGCATGTCCTCGGTACTAATCATAAGCTTAAGCTGTGAAAAACAGATAATATTGGATTGGATGGATCCATCCATCCAATTTCCTTTATATTGTCATTGTATCGTGATTTTTATTTTTTTATCCGCAATGACAAGTCTATTACCCCATCAAAGGAAGATATATAATCATTATATATATAAAAAAAAAACAATAATAATAATAACAATACAGAAGAAATTAGAGAATACAAAATGTATGAATATAATAATAATCTCAGGAAAATTCACACAGCGCCATCTAGTCCCAAGCTCACTAAAGCTTGTGTTATGGGTACTAGATGACTGATATAAATATAGATTTTTATTTCAAATACATACATATAAATACTGACCATGTTACAATAGCTATACATAGTTTTGTAATAATAATCGTAACTAGTGGTCGCTAATCCAAATTTGACCATAAATTATTTTACATTCAGTAACACTATAGACAAACAATCTTGATAAACAAGAACATATATATTAATTGTTAGGAAGACTGAGAATTTTAATATAACTTAATATTACCACTGGATTGCCATAACAAATATTTAAAAAACATGCCATGTTATAAATATCATAAATATGTTACCATTTATAAATATAGATGCGTGACATGTAGATGAGAATCTAAGTGAAACCAAAAGAGAGTAGTCACAAATTAAATCTTAAATCGATCTAGACAGCAAGTTTATCAATCGATATACTTGCTAATCGATCGACTTAACAAACTTGTAACTACAAACAGAATTTCTCACAGATTAAACAAAACCATACCTTTTCTATTAAAATTCAACATTGTTTCTTTAATTATTGAATTGCGAAACAGTACTGTATATCCTTGAGCATAAGGCATGGATTTATTTAAACTGTTTTTATTCGAAACTATGTAGAATAAATAAATTAAACAACCAAGTCAACGAGTCCGCAAAGTCAAAACTATAAGTTAACCGTAAAACCTTAAACTGAATATAAAATTAAACACTTTGTGTCATGGTATAGAACTAGACTCGCTCTAGCAATTTGGAATGTCCTGTTTCAGATATAAAAAATGGCGATGCGATGAATATAGTACAATTTTTTGACGTACGAATAAAATTACAACTACCATTAATATCTTAATTACAAAGACGAAAGTTTGTGAGTATGGATGGATGTTTGTGACTCACAAAATTCTTTTTCACGCAAAAACTACTGAAAGGATTTTGATGAAACTTTACAGTAATATAGCTTATACATCAGAATAACCCATAGTAATTTCAGTTACTTTAGTGTTTCACTACTGAACACAATGGCGTATATATTAATTTATGTAATTGTTAATTTTTTTCTGTGAGAGAGAACAATAAAGAATTTTTCAGTCATTCATTCACAATATTTTCCCGCTCATAACGGACGCCATTTTGTTTCAACGCGATTACAAGATGGCGGCGCATTTTTAGCGTCGTTTTTCTGTGATTTTATTCGTACGTCGTTTTATCGCAGTGCCTGTGATTGAGGCTGACGCTTGGCTCTATTCTAACATCGATCGGGTAAGCTGTGCTTCGCTGTAGAAAACGGTCCAGATCAATCATTGAAACAACCCTTGTTAACATAATTTTCATTGTAAAATACACACATTCAATACTCTCATTCGTACCTAATTTATTGATCAACAAAATATGAAATAAATTTAATAATAAAAAATTTATTATCTTTTTTTTCTTAATAGGCAAAGATCGAATGTTGACAACGCTTCGAAAAGGCACGAAAGGGAAACGATTTTAAGTATAACGTGAACAGTATTTAAGACACTCTTAAACATTGTTATTAAGAGTCAAGTCGCAGACCGTTCGCCCAGCTGAAGCCATGTTACAATAACGGCACTAACACATAACTAACCCTAAGTAGCACCTAAATGGTGATTATATAGTTTAGCAACAAATCATATAGGTATTTATAGTTTTGTATCAACACGGCCCGACGTCACTTTTACCTTTGCCTGTATTAAAAAAAAATGTGTACACGCTTAAATATTTTAAATAAAGAACGGTATTTTTTTTTAATTGCAAATCCGCCAACAGTTCGAATACAGCTATACCATGTACGCTGTGGCATGATGCGGATGACGGTTTCAGTAACGTTTCGTTTCACGCTTGAAAGTTGCCGTGATTTAATAAGACTTAGTATTTCAGCTGTACCACATTTGTAATATATTAAATTATTAATAACTGTAATAACTTAAATTTAACCCAGCCAGAATGGTCTAGTCTACAAATACAGGCAACTGTCACCCGCCACATACTACAGCGCACATAGTATAATATCTATACTAATATTGCATATACATAAAACTTCTTTCGTATTTTTTTACGAAGCAAAAGTAAAGTGTACGTCGGGCTATAAACATTTCTTATTAGTCCCGTGTTACATTGTAATGATTACAGATTGTAATAATATATTAATAGGGGGAAACATTTGTTTTTTTTTTAATCTAAAACGGTGGTCTACCTCGTGTGACAGTTTAAAGCTATCCCATAGACAAAACATTGTTATAATGAAATTTTACACGATTTTTAACTATGGCAACAATGATTGCTAAAAGCCATTATGGGAAATATGATGCTTAAGTCTAGGTTTATTTAAAAAACTTGCAAATGCTGTCGTATATTTTCTTTACATAAACAATACTTAACATTCAATAAAATAATCGTACGGTGCGCGTCGACGTCACAACATCAAATGTAATTAACCTCATTTATCAATTAATATAAATGTTTAATTAAATAACTTATATAAATATTCGCAGTGATTTCACTTACAACTACATTTCAATGTATGCAGCTCATATACATACAAGTTATGAACACCTTGAGACCCTTTCGCACTTATGGAGAGTGAAAGGGACAAGATATTACAACGTTATGTTACCGTGGACGCCATTTTGTTGCACGCAGTCACAAGATGGCGGCGTCGCTGAGAGCAGCCGCGTTACGGTTGCGTGCTCTGCTGTTGTATCTCTATTTTCTCCACTGTCATGTCGGGGTTCATCGCTGTGGCCTCCTACAAATCAAATAATTATCACTGATTAATTTACATACTACAAGAAGCCTGTCTATATGTTCGCGGTAATCTCAAAAACAATTTTTAAACGTTTTTTTTGATGTGATTTTCATCTATCCACAGAATGATCCCATGAATAATTTTGAAAAATACCACCCCTAAGGGGATAAAATAGGGGATGAAAGTTTGTATAAAACTTTGTCAATTTTAAACCGATCTGGCTGAGACTTTGCATGCATAAAGCTACTATGACGTAGGCATCCCCTAAGAAAGGATTTTGATAAATTCCACCCCTAAGGGGATAAATTATAAACGCGAAAGTTTGAGAATATGAATGGATGTTTGTTACTCTTTCAGGCAATAATTACTGAACGGATTTTGATAAAACTTTACAGCATTGTAGCTTATACATCAGAATAGCATATAGGGTATAAATTTCACGCAGGTACGGGCACAGCTAGTAAAGCTATATACCTGTATGGCTTCAGCGAGGGCTCTGTCATGGTCGATGGGGTCGCCGTCCGACTGGATGGTGATCTTTTGTTCCACTCGTGTCTCCACCACGCCGTTACGCTCCGTCTTGTACTACAATACATAACAACCTCTTAACATTGCTGACCATGAGTCTAGTCTTATGCGGATATCAGGTTATCTTTTACTTATATATAGAAAATACCTCCTTTGGAAAGTATACACTCTATCTTGAAGAGATTTTTACTACATGCATATGAATATAACTACAGTAAATACACAAAATATAATTTTTGAAAATTTTTGTCTGTCTGTTTGTTCCAGCTAATCTCTGAAATGGCTGGACTGATTTTGATGGGAATTTTATTAGCAGGTAGCTGATGTAATAAGGAGTAACTTTGGCCACTTATATTTAAAAAAAATAAAGTTAAATTCCACACGGTCGAAGTCGCGGGTGCAGCTAGTGTTACATAAGACACATGAGATATCACTCATGGGTTTCCGTGATACCACTGCGTTCTGCTGATATCCCATATGGGACACAGTCACCTAGATACATCAAAATAATAATTGCATTTAATAATGTCTAGTAAGACAAATTCAATATTGTCTACTAAGCACTGCTGTGTCTAAACTGTGTCACCCCACCGTACATTTTCCTATTGTTATTTAGTATATAAGATCAATATTTCTATGTACATATTGTCAGTTTATTATCATCTGTAATATACATCGTCTCGATCAACAACATCGTATCACTCACCCGCAACATCCTACATGAATAAATGATTTTTGATTTGATATTGTAGTTATATATAAAGTCAGTTCTATATACTCACAGTTATGGTCTCGACGGTGCGTGTCTTGGAGCTGATGGTCTGAGAGGAGACTACCTCGCCCTCCGCGTTGGTCGTCTCCACTGTCTCCTCGGTTGGCTGCGGACCCGTGCTCGTCTGAACATGGAACAGGCAACATGACAATCAGATTAAATAGGCTCTTGACACTAGGGCTAAATAGGCTCTTGACCTTAGGATTCAATAGTCCCTTGGCCCTAGGGCAAAAAAGGCTCTTGACCTAAGGATTAAACAGACTCTTGATCCTAGAATTCAATAGTCCTCGACCCTAGGGCTAAATAGGCTCTTGACCTTAGGATTCAATAGTCCCTTGGCGCTAGGGCAAAAAAGGCTCTTGACCTAAGGATTAAACAGACTCTTGATCCTAGAATTCAATAGTCCTCGACCCTAGGGCTAAATAGGCTCTTGACCTTAGGATTCAATAGTCCCTTGGCGCTAGGGCTAAATAGTCTCTTGACTCTGGGTTTACATAGCCTCTTGAGCCTATGATGAAATAGGATCTTGGTCCTAGGCTAGAGGATCGTAAAGGATATCAGAAGCTCACCCGGGAAGCATTATGCCCAATTTACACTCAGCCCGAGTGGGCTGGGAAGTGAGCAGCGCGAGAGTGTAAACACGAGTGGAAACTTCCCATGCCATTGGCGCTGCCACTCACGCTGCCCGGCGCTCCCTCGATTGTCGGTTTTTCGTGCGCGAGTCAAAGGACTGGCAGCGCGTGTGGCAGGGGAATATTCGTAAACCAATAATACAATTGTGTTTGAATGTAAGTACAATTCATAAAAAATATTGGTCCAAACAATAATAATTTTTTTAAGCAAATTTTGGAATAGCGAAAAACTTCTAATGTCCTTTAAATCTACAGGCAAATTATTATATTGGGGTATGTTCAAGTATTACGTAAGCAAATTTATTACAATTATTTACCCCGCCCCCCCCCCCATTCCCCTTGTCAGTTAAAGTAAGCAAAGCTCTTACCCCCTCCCCCATGCTTACGTAAACATTTTTCAATTAATGTATTGTTTTTTAAGCAAAGACATTTCGTGTAATAAAGTAAATAACTACTGAGTCATCATCTAGACTCCCCTACCACCAATGTCATCGAAAATAAGCAAAGTAAAACAAACCAACCCGCCCATCTATAGTACGCTTACGGAATACTTGAACGGCCCCTTGCTATGCTGATAGGAACCGATGTGCTAACACGCTAGATACCCAAGCCGTCAGATTATTGTGAAGCTATCATACTACTACTATGATACTTACTCTACCGATGTGCTAACACGCTAGATACCCAAGCCGTCAGATTATTGTGAAGCTATCATACTACTACTATGATACTTACTCTACCGATGTGCTAACACGCTAGATACCCAAGCCGTCAGATTATTGTGAAGCTATCATACTACTACTATGATACTTACTCTACCGATGTGCTAACACGCTAGATACCCAAGCCGTCAGATTATTGTGATCCTATCATACTACTACTATGATACTTACTCTACCGATGTGCTAACACGCTAGATACCCAAGCCGTCAGATTATTGTGAAGCTATCATACTACTACTATGATACTTACTCTACCGATGTGCTAACACGCTAGATACCCAAGCCGTCAGATTATTGTGAAGCTATCATACTACTACTATGATACTTACTCTACCGATGTGCTAACACGCTAGATACCCAAGCCGTCAGATTATTGTGAAGCTATCATACTACTACTATGATACTTACTCTACCGATGTGCTAACACGCTAGATACCCAAGCCGTCAGATTATTGTGATCCTATCATACTACTACTATGATACTTACTCTACCGATGTGCTAACACGCTAGATACCCAAGCCGTCAGATTATTGTGAAGCTATCATACTACTACTATGATACTTACTCTACCGATGTGCTAACACGCTAGATACCCAAGCCGTCAGATTATTGTGATCCTATCATACTACTACTATGGTACTTACTCTACCGATGTGCTAACACGCTAGATACCCAAGCCGTCAGATTATTGTGATCCTATCATACTACTACTATGGTACTTACTCTACCGATGTGCTAACACGCTAGATACCCAAGCCGTCAGATTATTGTGAAGCTATCATACTACTACTATAGTACTTACTCTACCGATGTGCTAACACGCTAGATACCCATGCCGTCTGATTATTGTGATCCTATCATACTACTACTATGGTACTTACTCTACCGATGTGCTAACACGCTAGATACCCAAGCCGTCAGATTATTGTGAAGCTATCATACTACTACTATGGTACTTACTCTACCGATGTGCTAACACGCTAGATACCCAAGCCGTCAGATTATTGTGATCCTATCATACTACTACTATGATACTTACTCTACCGATGTGCTAACACGCTAGATACCCAAGCCGTCAGATTATTGTGATCCTATCATACTACTACTATGATACTTACTCTACCGATGTGCTAACACGCTAGATACCCAAGCCTTCAGATTATTGTGAAGCTATCATACTACTACTATGATACTTACTCTACCGATGTGCTAACACGCTAGATACCCAAGCTGTCAGATTATTGTGAAGCTATCATACTACTACTATGATACTTACTCTACCGATGTGCTAACACGCTAGATACCCAAGCCGTCAGATTATTGTGATCCTATCATACTACTACTATGATACTTACTCTACCGATGTGCTAACACGCTAGATACCCAAGCCTTCAGATTATTGTGAAGCTATCATACTACTACTATGATACTTACTCTACCGATGTGCTAACACGCTAGATACCCAAGCCGTCAGATTATTGTGAAGCTATCATACTACTACTATGATACTTACTCTACCGATGTGCTAACACGCTAGATACCCAAGCCGTCAGATTATTGTGATCCTATCATACTACTACTATGATACTTACTCTACCGATGTGCTAACACGCTAGATACCCAAGCCGTCAGATTATTGTGATCCTATCATACTACTACTATGATACTTACTCTACCGATGTGCTAACACGCTAGATACCCAAGCCGTCAGATTATTGTGATCCTATCGTACTACTACTATGATACTTACTCTACCGATGTGCTAACACGCTAGATACCCAAGCCGTCAGATTATTGTGATCCTATCATACTACTACTATGGTACTTACTCTAGTGGCCGCCCCGTGCACCATGCTGCCGAACGGCGCGTTGCCAGACACCGTCGACGTCGTCGTGGTCCGGTAGGTACCCGGCTCCTGGTCACACCATCATATCATTATTAGTATTAACATATAAATTGTCATCTGCGAAGGAGCCAATTATTGGACTCGGACACCATAGACCTATCTGTGGAGCACCCAAGACGGGCCCATTATATCATTGTTAGTATTAACATATAAATTGTCATCTGCGAAGGTGCTAATTATTGGACTCGGACACCATAGACCTATCTGTGGAGCACCCAAGACGGGCCCATCATATCATTGTTAGTATTAACATATAAATTGTCATCTGCGAAGGTGCTAATTATTGGACTCGGACACCATAGACCTATCTGTGGAGCACCCAAGACGGGCCCATCATATCATTGTTAGTATTAACATATAACCTCTCATCTGCGAAGAAGCCAATTAATAGGCTGAGACACTATAGCCCCATCTGTGAGGAGTCCTGTAATTGGTCTCAGAGATGGGGATGGAATGTCAAAATGATTAATGCCCCATCTCTGAGACCAATTACAGGACTCCTCACACATGGGATAAGTAACTATACCATGTTTTATATTTGACGCGGTCATTATTTATACGTATAATTCGTAAATCACGGATTCATACCACGTTTTATTTTGATTGAGTTCCCTATATTTAGGCAGCGTCATGATCAGGGGTAAACTCAATGGTAAACTCACGGGTAAAACCGCCATGATCACAGTTTACCCGAATACCCGATATGAAGCAATTCATTAAGTATTCATAATAGTATAAAATGACTCTTTTTAACATTTTCATTTTATACTCACTTCCTCTAAATCTCGCCTCGAAAGCTACACGCTGGAACCTATGTGGAAAGGAGCTTCCTCGCGCGTATACTTACATTATGTGGAATAAACTACCTGCCGAGGTTTTTTCGAGAAACTACAGTATGGGATTTTCAAGACGGTTTTCTTATGGGTCGACAATGCGCAAATGACATCTCTGGTGTTTCAGGCGTCAATAGGCTACGGTAACCGTTTACCAATAAATAGGTCATATGCTTGTTTCCCACCATCGCAGTATAAAAAAAAAATTACAGTACTTCGCCGTATTTTTATTGAGGGTTTTGGGATATTATCAGTGTCAAGACCTGTAGCACTGCGACCTACATAGACCTATCGTGCTCACCCTTTTTCAAAGTTTGCTACCTAGACCCTCAGGGACAAGAATTGAAGAATATTCTCAGGAGCGATGGTTTTTAGGTTTTTATCTCCTCAGGGTAAACTCCGGCTGTATCTCTAAGTATTAACGATATATCTAATTAAAGAAAACATCATACTGTATTTCTTACAATGCAAAACTATCACTCACTGTATTCTCATACACATGCAAAACAAGAATGCAATACAACTGTACAGCGCCACAAACTTATTTGACACGATGGCCGAATCTGGACCTAATAACCTTGGAAATTCTATTTAGCGGTAATTAATTGTCTATTTATATGTATATTCTGTATTTATAGAAAAATGTATCTAAGTATATCTATCAGTCATCTAGGGCCAATAACACCACCTCTTTTTTTTACGTGTGGAAAATCTTGAAATGGCCGTCACCCCGGCGGAGGTAGGGCGGGGCGGTGTGTGAGAGTTTTACTCACGAGAAACCACACGATGTACCTACGAGTGCCTATACTGGAGCCAGGGGATTCGCATGTGCATTTCGACCCCAGCTCCGACGGCGACGGCCCGCCCTGTAGATGTTGTAGGGCAGGCCCCATCTCGTTACGGTTAGGGCGACCTATTTCGCACTACTCCATTGTGGAGGCGTGTGGGTACACGCGCACACCTCCGGGGCTATTGGATTGGGCTGCCTCATAACACCATCTCTGCCTTAACCCTGGACTATTCAAACAGCGCCATCTAATCCCAAAATGGCCCATCATGAATTTGATTTTATTGTTATTAAAACAAAAAATAGCGAGGATATCAGACAAGACAAGACGAGCGTGTCAGACAAGTTTATGAAACTGTATGTTACATGCCATACACACACATACAAGACAATAATATATAATAAAAATATGTATATTACAACTAAAGACAACCAACTCATTGTGCATATTATACCAATTATTTAAAATACATGAACAAAGAATAGAAACTATGTTTAAATTAAATATACTTACTTCCTTTATATTTAATAATACTTTTATTTGATTATAATCGTCAATTAGATTCATTATTAAAATTAAAACTCTATTACTGCAACACTTGTCCATGAGGTTTTTTTTGTCTACTCTAATGCTGTTGGCCGCAGCTGGCCTTTACAGCTTCACCGGCCGATAGGGGGCGAGTGCAGATGGCACTACAAACCAAAGGAAGGACTTATGGAGCAGCTAAAGGCAACTCCCGCCTGACGGTTCCGACTTTAGTCTGAGGGCACCGCTAAGGGTTCGAACCTCGGCTCAGGCCGTCCTAATATCGATCCCCGTTTGACTTGGACCGTGTGTCCATGAAGTCTCAATATAAAGAAGTATAAAAAAATGTACATCAAAATCATTAATATTAATACTATATTAAGGAATAATAAGAAATAGAAATGTTTAAACCTTGTCCAAAATATAGTTAACTAGCTTTTACCTGCGGCTTCGCTCGCATTGAATCTATTAAATAAGTATCGGAGATCTATTTATTTCTTTACAAAAAGTAGCAAAATTAAAAGTTTAAAGTAGCAAAATGTTTTTTTTTTAAATATTGATTCTAATACCTCCAAGAACATGTGTACAAAATTTCATGATGATCGGTTCAGTAGTTTTTACGTGAAAGCTTAACAAATATCCCTAATTTTACATTTATAATATTTTTAACATTTATAGAGATAGAGATAGAGAAATCAAAATAACCGAATCTAAACTAATATTATACAGAGGAAGTTTTACTATATACTTGTTTCGGATGAAACGGTGAAGGAATTCTTTAAAACTGTTTTATTATTAACTCAATCGACTGCTATTAATTCTATGAATTTAGAATTGAATCTAAACTTGTATTCCAACTATTCTTATCTATCTTTATGTCTTCGTTAAATTAAATAAATTTTTAACTTTACATGTTATATATAGGTTTAGAGTTCTTCTATGTCTCTATATACTCACAGTAAGGTAGTAGTGACCTTCTCCGGCGCCTTCCTCAAAATCGATCGGCGTACCAGAGTCACCGCTGCTCAGCGAGCTTTCTGAGCCGCGTCTGGTATGCTACATCCGTGACCATGCCATACGGTATCCATAAAGGTACGTGGGATGTATGATTGGAAGATAGGGATTACCACATTATAGTGTTTTGATGGGACGACGTGAAATTAACACACATTAATATGTCGTAGGTTAATTGGTATATGGTGGTAGGTTAAAAGGTGTGATAGGTTTTCCATAACGGACCGTTCGGTTTAGTTTCATGCCGTATCCGAAGCGTTACCACAAGCAGATCAGTCCATCCATTTGTCGATTGAGGAGGGGAACAAAAAAAAAGAGAAAAATTAGAAAACAAATCATACATGCACTTGACAGCCCTTTCCGGCGTATGACTAGTATATAAAAGTATTAACTACTAGCTTTTACCCGCGGCTGCGCTCGCATAGCTTCATTACTGGCTGAAGTAACAAAATGTTTATTTTTTTTGTTTTTTATAAAGAATATTGGATTATTTTTAAAATAAAATAAGGTATCCTATGTTCGTACTAATAATTCCAAGAACATGTGGACAAAATTTCATGATTTTCGGTTCAGTAGTTTTTGCGTGAAAGCGTAACAAACATCCTTATTTTAAAATTTACTAATATTATAGTAAGCAAAAATCAAAATGACCTAATCTAAACTCATATTATGCAGAGGAAATATTTTGTTTTCTATTAAAAAGTCATTAGTGTACAGGACACCTTACATCCGGGCCGATGGCTGGCACAAAATTTCCTATTTTTTCTTTTGTCAATTTTACCATGGATTTGTTTACAGTCTTGCCTTTCCTATACGACCTTCTAAATATATTATTATATTATACTAGGACTTTGATTATCACTATCGTTGGCTGCACCGACCTCAGCGCCATATATACAGTCCCACACAAAAAACTCAATAAATATATGACTGGTTAGTTATTACTCCTTACTTCGTCTGCACAAACTTTCATCCCCTATTTCACCCACTGCCAAATTATTATCTGCCTATATCTGTCCTCGTGATTCTATCTATCTTCACGGGAAACTTCATTAAGATCGCTTCAGACGTTTAGTTGTGAGAAGGTATATTATTAGTATGGAATATAATTTTTTTATCATGTACAGAAAACTACTTTATTATCGAGTAACTTAGGCCGTAATATTTTGCAAACTAATTTTTGAACCCTATATTGAGGTTTTTTAATTTCCCAAAAATTAGGGATTCCTATAATTTACCTGCTCAGAGGCAGTGTTAATCCAAATTGGCCATAAAACTCCCGTGAGGCACACTCTCAAATACCACCAAATAGAAAATACCTATAGCCATGCCATGCAATTGCAAATTGTAATCATACCTATCCTAGAATACGAATTGGTGAATATTCAAAAGTCATTTATTCATGTAGAACATTTCGTCGGTTAAATAGAAAAATGGCAGTATTCAAAATGTCCATTTTTATACAATAATAGCATTTAAAGTTTCTTTTTTAATTTATTTAAATTTTAAATTATTTTTTTCTTTAAAGTTTTAAATTTAGTATTATATGTCATTTTAAAAGTATCTAGATAATTATTAAGACGGCGTGGTTAATTTAATTGATTTATATAAAAGGAGGCAATTCTAGCTTCTAATTTTGAAAAATGCAATTTTTCTATTTAATCGACGATTTCTGTTGTTTATGACTTTTTTTTTTGTACTAATATTTTCTCTTACTCTACTACTCCTAATCTGTAGATTCAATTGAGAAGGAACTCGACTAAATATATTTTTTTTAGTATGCATGTTTCCTGTCGATTGGGACATTTGAATCTAATGTGACAGGGGGCCAGCCTACCGCCGTCTCTTAGCATTTCCTTCACAGGAGAATCAGCCAGTAATATAAATTGATCCACGATTTTTGTTTGTTCTAGATTTAAACATTTATACGGACGAAAGCTAACTTTATTCATAATATTTTTAAGCACAATTCTAAAGGAATATTTACGTCTACTACCGATCTTGTTATACGTTCAGATGTAAGAAGATCCTTCTTTACTATTTACTTACTTCTTATTTAAAAAAAAGCGCTTGTGAATACAGTCGCCATGCGTCATAATCATGTGGCCATACGTGCATTCTGCGGGCGCATTTTTAAAACATTGCAAATTTGATAATTAAAGCCTATCAGTGCAGAAAGAGCTGTCGTTGAAACGAAAATAAAAATGGGAGACCCAAATAAAAATAATGCTTCACTTGGTGAATGATCATGAGTATTGGATCGTGTATTGAGGATGCCATTACCTGATCGCCGGTAGTGACCATAGTTTTGACTTCCTGAGTCAGAACCCGTTGCTCCTGCCTCGTGGCGGAGGATGTTAACGTGTGCGCCACCGTCTTCTCCTCCATCTGCTGGGTCTTTGCCTTGGTATCAAGGTCGTGGTGCGTGGTCGCCGTCCGTGTGGTCACCGCCCTGGCTGTGACGTAGGGGCTCTTCCCTTCTATCGGCTCTATGCTTTCCGCCTACGGTAAGGTTAGACTGGCATGCTTACTATACACATGAATGTGATTTAAAAAAAAAAAAAACTAACTAACATTGACTACGGAAGGCTTGAAGCTTTGATAATGAAATAAAAAAGTAATAGGCCACACACTGTACAAAATTAAAAAGAAAACAACATAGATATCAGGGTGGCGTCTCGTTTGCCTGTTAATAACTGTACAGCCACGAACCTTATTCGTATGTGTGGAGAATGTGACCTCCCCCGTGCCGAGGTTCTCGACCTCCTGCTCAACGTTATGGGTGACTCCCTCGTCGTTCTTCGTGAGGAGCTGCTTCGTGGTCGTCTTCACTACAACTGGGGGCGTGGGAGTTTTCTTGCTTCGCTGCGAAATCGGGATCTTTGAGGACAGAGGGGTGGAAGATACGTATCCCTGGTGCTTTATGTGCTCACTGGTGGTGTACTCGGTGAAACTCTTCGGCTCGTCCCCTCGGGCCGGACTCTCGTCCTTGCCGAACGTCGAGAACTTGTGTGTGTTTACCGTTTGTATGTCAATGTTCGCGGGTAGATCTTGCGTCTCTTTTTCGATCGTATAGTTCCCGCTCTTATCTTCGAAGTGGGATGGGTCGATTTGTGAATAATGCAATATTAATTGTCCAGTGACGGGATCCCTGACGGCTGTGCTCGGATCTATATCACCTGTGTCCGGATCTATGTCTCCATATTCTGTCTTTATCCTGCCGGTGACTGGGTCAATTTTGCCTGATAACGTCATAGTTTGAGTAACCGTTGTTCTCGCCCCTTTCAGTCGAGGATCGTCTGGATCAACGTCAATAGTTTCTCCAGTTATAGGATCAATCATTTGATACAAGTATACGGTCTTTGTAGTAATAATTCTGCCTGTTGTTTCATCAATTGTGCATTCTTTGGGATCAACTTCTTTGACGCGTCCTTTGTCGTCTTTCTGAGTGATCACATAAATTTTAATAATAATTAACCTGCCGGTTGCCGGATCGATTTTGCCAAGTTTAGTGTAAATTTCTCCAGTGCCGGGGTCGACTTGTGAAGCTGAATATAAAGGTTGATTATTTTCATCCACTTCGCCAGTCGCAGTATATATTTGGCCATTAACTGGATCAACTTTTATAAGGAACTTGTCGATATCTGTAGTTCTAACAATTGTACCCGTTTTAGGATCTAAACGCCCATAAATTGTAACAATGTAGCCTGTAACGGGATCAACCTGGCCCGCTGTATACAGGGTTTCATTGGTGTATGGGTCCTTAGGACCGGCAATCCATATCTGGTTGGTTTTAGGATCAACTTTGACGTTTTTAGGATCATTAGAAACAATTTGTTTTCCAGAGACTGGGTCCACTTTATTCTTAATAATTCTCAAACAAATCAATCTACCAATGTCTTTGTCGGGTTTACCTGATTTAGGGTTGATTTGTCCGCTTCGAAGTAAGAACTGTCCAGTAATAGGATCTACTTTAAGTTCTTTACTTTCGAATTTACCATTCTTGGGATCATTATATGTTACAGTACCTTTAACGAGATCAATTTGGCCATATTTAGTATCAATTTTGTTGTTATCCGGATTTAGCTGGCCTGTAGAACTCTCAATTACGGAGTGTTTAGGTTCAATAAGACCTTTCTTAGAATCTACTTTGCCAACGAATGTCGTCACTTCCACTACAGGATCAATATGTGTACCAACAACAATAACTTGACCCAGCTTAGGATCTAGCTTGCCAGTTTTGGGATCCACAACGTTAGTAATCGTAATTTGTCCATTGTTTTCATCAATGCTGACTGGTTTTGTGTCTTGGGCTCCCGATGTATCGGTCACAAATATAACACCATTTGATGGATCGATAACTCCATATTTAGTAGAAATATGTCCGGTTTCAGCGTCGACCTTGCCTTTTGTATGTTCTACTGTACCTACTTCAATGTCAACTTTGCCTGTTCTAGGATCTATGGGTCCTGTTATAGTTGTAATCTCCACAACTGGGTCATCTTGCTTAGCAACGCTTAAAATCATACCTAAATTGGAGTCAACTTTGCCTGTTTTCGGGTCAACTGCACCTGAGGGAATAAATATCTGTCCAGTTTCAGCCAAAACAGTGCCATCTTTAGTCAATTTTTGACCTGCAGCATCAGTAATAATGATGTGCCCTTTATTTGAATCTATAACACCATACTTAGTTTCAATAAGTCCGTTCGGATCCAGGATTCCAGTTAAATGTTCCACTTCAGCTGTATTCAAATCCGGCCTTTTAGTTTTTGGATCGATCCTAGTAAAAATGACCATGATTTTTACAATCTTTCTCTTTGGCGGTTCAGGAGGTGGTGTTGTTGGTTTTACAGGACTTGCTCGTTGCACTGTAGTTATAGGTGAAGCTTTCTGAGCTAGACTTGAGCTAAGAGGCGAAGATGTTCGCACAGGTGATTGTAATGGCGTCTGAACGGGTGTGCGTGGAGGCGTCTTTACAGGTGAAGGAATTTGTCGTACGGGAGAGATACTAACTCTTTGCCCTATTGGTGCTGCACTTGACAAAACATTTTGTTTGTCGACTATTATCAATTGTTGAGCATATGTAGGATCAACCTTACCCGTCTTAGGATCAATTACTGCAGTAGTCACTACAAAATTGCCAGTTTTTGGATCGATATCGGCTTGTTTTAATTCTTGTTTTCCGGTCACGGGATCTTTATATAAGATTTGACCTGACCTCGGATCGATGATACCAAAATCAGTATGTATCTTGCCATCTTCAGCACTGACATACCCTTTGGAGGCGTCTATCGTTCCAGAACCAGCATCGACTGTTTTTGTGTACGGATCATATTTGCTAGTAACAATTACTAAACGCACTTCGCCCTTTGAAATTGGTTTAGGATGTGGTACAACAGTCTTGTTCACAATATTATATTGTTGCACTAAAGTAGGGTCCACTCTTCCAGTCTTAGGATCGACTATTTGATTACTAACAATCATATGACCCGTTGAAGGATCAAGTTGAGCTTTCTTAACCTCTTGCCTTCCAGTTTTTGGATCTGTAACCACAATCTCTCCAGAGACAGGGTCGACAACTCCCACTGCAGTGCGGATTTTACCATCGGGACCAAGAGTACCAGTAACAGTATCTATATGTCCTTGAGTTAGGTCGAGTTTCTTTGTCCTGGGATCGTATTTAGTAGTTATAATAACCAAGTGGATTTCTCTTTCAACTGGTTTAATTTCTTTTTCAACAATGCTAAATTGTTGGGCAAGTGATGAATCAGGTTTTCCAGTTTTCGTGTCATAAACACCACTCAGAATTAAATTTCCTGTCTTCGAATCTACAATAGCCTGTTTTATTTCTGGTTTTGATGTCTTAGGATCAATCTGCTCAATTCTACCTGTCTTTGGGTCAATAATACCAAAGTTTGTATAAACTCGGCCATCAGACACAACAACGCCTCTTGATGTTTCGACACGACCATTAGGAGTATCTAATCTTTTATTTTTAGAGTCATATTTACCAGTAATAACTACTAACTGTACTTCTTTACCTGGTATGGAATTAAAAGTATCTAAAGGTTTCTCTACAACACTTAACTGTTGTGCCAAAGTAGGGTCCACTTGCCCTGTTTGAGGATCAACAACTCCTGACGTAAGAGATATATTTCCAGTTTTAGGATCAACAGCGGCTTTTTTAATTTCTTGTTTACCAGTGATTGGATCTATAAATACAATATCTCCCGTATATGGATCAACAGTTCCGAATTCAGTGTACACTTTTTCATCGTTTCCAATTCTGGCCGGTATCGTATCCACATGAGCATTAGACAGATCCACCTTTTTCGTTTTTGGATCATATTTATATGTAACAATTACTAAATTTACATGACGTTCAGGAATACCTCGCCGGGCAGACTTATCAACAACCGTTAATTGTTGAGCTAAAGATGAATCAGGTTTACCAGTTTTGGGATCAGCAACGCCCGATGTTATGTACAGAGAGCCTGTTCTTGGATCTGTAACAACTTGTTTAATCTCAGTTTTCCCTGTTTTAGGATCAACTTGCTCTATTTTTCCTGTCTTGGGATCAATAATACCGATATTCGTATGAATTTTGCCATCAGCGGCGACTATACCGGGGGAAGTCTCGACGTAGCCATTAGGATTGTCCAATTTTTTATTTTTGGGATCATATTTGCTTGTAATTATTACCAATTGTACTGGTTTCCCTAGTACTGTAGTGAATTTTTCTTTGGGTTCATGTACCACACTTATTTGTTGACCTAATGTCGGATCGATTTGTCGTGTAGTTGGATTCATAACACCTGACGTAAGCAATAAGTTACCAGTTTTCGGATCAACAATAGATTTCTTAACTTCCTGTCTTCCAGTAGCAGGATCTGTCACAATGATATCACCATTACGTGGATCTACAATTCCAAACTCTGTATGTATCTTATTATCTATTTCAATTTTACCAGGAATTGTATCTACATGTGCATCAGAAGGCTCCAGTTTCTTATTTTTGGGATCAAATTTGGAGGTGATAATAACTAAATTCACAAGTTTTTCTGGAATGCTCTTTCGCGCATCTTTGTCCACTACAGTGTACAGTTGACCAAGAGAAGAATCTGTCTTTCCTGTTTTCGGGTCTACTACGCCTGTAGCGAGTAACAAGGATCCAGTCTTGGGGTCAGCTACAGTTTGTTTGATTTCCTGTTTACCTGATTTTGGATCAATATGCTCAATTTTTCCAGTTTTTGGATCAATAACACCAAAATTAGTGTGAACTTTCCCATTTGCATCGACTATACCACGTGATGTTTCTACAAAACCATTTGGATTGTCTAACCTCTTATTTTTAGAATCAAACTTGCTTGTAATTACAACGAGCTGTACTTCTTTTCCTGGTACAGTTGTAAATTTATCCTTCGGTTTATCTACAACCGTTATTTGTTGTCCTAGGCTTGAATCAACTTGTCCAGTATGAGGGTCAACCACACCAGACGTTAACAATAAGTTGCCTGTCTTCGAATCGACAGCGGCTTTCTTTAGTTCTTGTTTACCAGTCAATGGATTTGTGATAGTTATTTCACCAGTACTAGGATTAATGACACCAAAATCTGCGTGGACTTTGTCATCACTATCAATTTTTCCAGGAATAGAATCAACATGAGCGTTTGCGAGGTCTAATTTCTTACTCTTAGGATCATATTTGGAAGTAACAATGACCAGATTTACATATCTCTCTGGGATACCCTTGGGAGCATCTTTGTCTACTACAGTCAACAACTGAGCAAGAGAAGATTCGGACTTGCCAGTTTTAGGATCAATAACACCAGAAGTTAGTAGAAAGCTTCCAGTCTTGGCATCGATTGTAGCTTGCTTTGAATCTCGCTTACCAGATTTGGGATCGGTGAAGAGGATTTTACCAGAATTAGGGTCTAAAATTCCAAAATTGGTGTGTACCGTACCATCTTTATCACTTATTATAGCACGCGATGTCTCTACGAACCCGTTAGCATTTTCTATTTTTTTATTCTTAGAATCATATTTGGCTGTAATAGCAACCAACTGAACTTCCTTTCCTGGTAAAGATGCAAAAGTATCTATAGGTTTATCTACAATACTGTACTGTTGACCCATAGATACGTCCAATTGATCAGTCCTTGGATCAATTACACCAGATAAGAGTAAAATGTTGCCAGTTTTAGTATCTACTTGAGCTTGTTTGATTTCTTGTTTTCCAGTCTTGGGATCAGTGACCAGTATTTCACCGGTTCTCGGGTCAATGACACCATATTCCGTGTAAATTTTACCATCAGATCCACTAAGTACTCCTTTGACTGCATCTACATGGGCAAAAGAGGGGTCTAGTTTCTTATTCTTTAAATCATACTTGCTAGTAACAACAACCAGTCGGACTTCTCTATTCGCCTTAGTAGCATCCTTCTCAATTACACTAAATTGTTGGCCCAGTGAAGAATCAACTTTTCCAGATTTCGGATCAAGAACACCAGTAGTAACGAGAAGATTACCAGTCTTATTGTCTACATAAGCTTGCTTAGGGTCCTGTTTACCAGTCTTTGGATCAATATAATCAATCTTTCCAGTTCTGGGGTCGATGGTGCCGTAATTGGAAGTGACAATACCATCAGGTCCAACTATCGCCCTAGAAACATCCACGTGTCCGTGTGCTGCATCTAATTTCTTGTGTTTACCATCATATTTTCCTGTAATTACTACCAAGTCAACCTCCCTGCCGGGCTTAGCTCCTACCTTATCGGTAGCTCTCTCAACAAAACAATATTGTTGGGCTAGCGTAGGATCCAATTTTCCGGTTTTAGGGTCTATTACACCAGATGTGAAAAGTATATGACCAGATTTAGAATCCACATGGCCATTTTTAATTTCATGTTTACCTGTTACGGGGTCAGTATACCCGACTTGACCAGATTTAGGATTTATTACTTCTTTTTCCGTTTGAATTTTGCCGCTAGCTTTATTTAATGTCCCTTTTGTAACAAGAATAGTACCGTTGGCATCATCTAATTTTTTATTTTTCGGGTTGTATCTTCCAGTTATTATAACAACTTGTACTTCATTGTCAGGTTTAGCAGCAACAGGTGCTGCGGCTACGGCAGCTAATGGAGCCTCATGATGGGCCCGTTCCGAATCTAATAGCGCAAGAGTTGGATCTACAAGATTCTTAGGAGTTTTCGCTTGTTCTTTCAAAGCTGCAGATTGCACGTAATCAATACCAGGAGTTTTTAAAGCACTTAAATCATCAGGCGTCTTTCGTTTCTCAGCACTTTCAGCTAACTTCTTTTCTTCTCCTGGAGCGTAATTAAAGGCAAGACCAGATTTCCTTGTAGTAGGACTTCGGCCATCAAGTTCTCTCTGTTTCTCTTCTGTAATAGGTTCCTTTTCGTAACTAAATGCTCCTTGAATGAATGGTTTACTGCGAGTTGGACTTTTCTCGGTATCTGTATATTCGTAAGGTTTCGTAAAACCAGGTTTCTCCTGCTCAGACTTAATGGGACTCGTGTCAGGTGAAGTGTCGAGATTAGAACTATCCGCTGATGTCTCGAGCACAGCCTTTGCTTTGGGATCCTTAAGTTTCTTGTCTTTATCTTTCGGTGACTTAATTTTAGAGGACTTTTCTTCTTTAGGCGACTTGTCTTTCTTGCCACTGAACAGTCCAAAACCTCCCTGTAGGGTTGGGAATGGGATAGAAAGGAGAAACAAAAATGAAAAATAATTACAAATAAATTAAAAACACATCAATACGTTGTATAAATTTCACGTTCGTTTAAATTTGATTTCCGTTTAAATTTATACAACAACAAATAGTGCAAAATTAATAAGAAAAATGCATAATGCATATGCATGCCTTGCTCTAGTTGCGTATACTAACATTTATATTTACAAATAATGTATAATACACTAATCTCTACTTTCTTTAAACATCACAGTATTGCGTCCAATTAATTTTTTTTAGAAAAATGCCAGGTCGTTTCTACCATTCTTGCATGTATGGACAAGTTGTGTAAGGAATATATGGTTGTAACGTTCACTTACCTTGGACTTTTTAGGTGTGGTCTCTACATTATTGGTGACGCCAGGGTCACTCGACGTGTCAGTACCTGAAGATAAAGATTTCAATAATGTATATCTTTATATATGAAAAATACGTGTCGCGTTGTTTGTCCGCGATGGACTCCTAAACTACTGAACTGATTGCACATTTTGATTTGCACATTGTGTGCAATTGATCCAACTTGAAAGATAGGATAGCTTACATCTCAATTTATAGTCTCAATATTATTTTATTCAAGAACCTTAGCCACAGCAACGCGTGGCCGTGTTTGATAATAACAATAATAATAATTAACTATAGACATTAAGAATTACTTGGTCAGTATGACTCATAACTCTAAATTAATCAAATAATCTCGAAATATAAAAAAATATCATTAGATAATTCACATAGAGTATTTATTTATTTATTTATTAACGTTGCGTTACACAATTATAGTACACAATGAGTTAATTCATACACATAACACGCACCTTTTAGGCAGTGCAACGTGGAATCTCTTCCACGGCGGATTTAAATATTATAGTAATCAATATCTGCACACACTGCGTACTAGACAATCGATATAAATACATGGATACATTTTCGAATTTGTTACTTATTCTTACCGTTTTCTGCCGGTTTTCGCTGTTCAACGATCTTCTCCGGCTTCTTATCAGTTGGGATCACTTTCACAGCACCAGGGGGCGGCTTCTGTGAATACAAACAAATATATTTTTACACATGACACTTACACTCTTTACACATATAAACATCTCACGATACAAAATTTGTCCGCGATAAATGCTTGTGTAATTATATCTAACGTAGACTAATTTTTATGGGCCTCAATACCGAGTAGCCAAACAGATATATAATTCTTTTAGAAAATATATAATGACATATAGTGTATGTGATATGAAAGAAATTTAAATTTATTCTTTATTGTTTAATAATACTAATGAAGTAGTGAACTACTATGATATAGTGCAAATTCCGTACATACATTATATTGAAAAAAATCTAATTGCATTACTTAGTACATATAAAATTCATAATATGATAAAAAAAACTAATGTCTCCAGTGATCAATTTATACAACGAATTTACAATATTTTAATATGAACACTAACAAACTGATTAATCAAAGGATTTAGCTAATTCTCTTTAAAACTTTATATTAATACAAAAAAAAATATTTAAATGAAAAAGCTAAACCCTCAGTGTAAACGATAGTTCATTACCATGCAAATCTTGAAGGACTGTAAAAATCTAAACTGTAACTGAATCATAGAATCATAAACAAAATAAATTAAATTTAAAGCACCACTTAATCCTGATATTTGAATACGTTTGTGTCAACAACAAAACAGAACGGAAATAGAAATAATCTTTTTTAAAATGAACTTAAAATAAGCACTTCTGAATACGTTTGTTAACTCTACCGCCACAATCGAAATGCAGATTCATCCAAGAAAAATTAACAACTTCGCTGGTGATCTTTTCAAACAAAAATTGTACATAGGGTTGCCACCTCCTGGCTATTTAAATTCAAGTAGAAAAACGTATTCACTAACTTTTTATTTCTGTTTGAACATATATTTTCCATTTCTATGTCTAGATTTTCAAGGTCAGTAACTATCAAATTAAAAAACAATTAACATTTCTAACACCATTTTAATAAATAATAATCATATTTATTTGTCTCAAATAATGAGCTATTCCAATTGCGTATAATAAATATAAAATAAAATTCATCGGCACAAAACGGTTTATAAAAAGTTAGCCACTTCATAAACTCCCATCAAATTTCGGTATTCCTATTTTTTCACTCGGTGGAACATTGTCACGTGTCAATTCCGAGTGAGGTGAGAACCCAAATAGTACAAACGAGCACGTTTATTATTGTGTAAGTCAGTTGAGTGGTGTGGAGCACCTTGTCGGCGGCGAGGTACTCCCCCTCGAGGGAGCTGGCGGAGGACGCGCTCACAGTCCCGCCGGAGCGACGCCGCAGCTTCCGAGCAGCGTGCGAGGAACGCAATGTTAAATGGAGGCATCAGAGCACACAATATACAAACCCGAGCGTGACATCAAATAACATTTTTTTATTAACAATGAACCCTCTCACAAAGATCAAGTTCTTCAAGATCAAGATCAAGTTTGAACCTAATTTTATATAAATTAGGTTCATTCAGTCATTGTAAGGTTAATTTTTAAAACGTAAAACTCTTGTGTCACAGGTTTCGTGTTTACACTCCTTCGAAACGGTTTGATCGATTTTGATGAAATTTTATACGTATATTCAGTAGGCCTCAGAATAGGTGACTCACTCCAAAAAATATATAATTTTATTTCAAAAAATACATATAACGCTAAATCATCACCCATCTATCACCAACCCCTATTTTTTATAGCATTATTAATTTATATGGCAAAACAACGTTTGCCAGGGGTCAGCTAGTGAGTATATAAATATATTATGTAACTCTGAAGCCTCAGTAACTTAAAATGAAGTAAGCCATTACACATGAGTGGTACATAATACATAACTGATCATCTAATATTCAAAAATCATCTAAACATCAATGCTCTTCAGCTGTATTTCTTAACATATGGTCCACAGACCCCTGGGCGTCCACGAATATATTTATATGGGCCCATCGTCTTATCTAAGAATTTATCTATTTGGATTTTTATTTAAACATATAGTTTTTTGAGTATTAAAATACATTATAGTAAATTGTGCCTGTGTGTAATGAAATACAAAAAATCAAAAACAAAATATTTTTATTATTGTGGGTCCATTACTGACTTACGATATGTCAAAACTACCGTCAGTTTGCTTTCCAGCTGAGAAGAATTGACAAGAAACTGAGCTCATGATCTTTTCAAATGAGCTGTACATGTTTAAAAAATAGAAGAAGAAAGAATCATTTTTAAATTCATATTATGAAGAATAGAGTATAACTGCAATAGCATACTAGTATATGCAATAGCATACTAGTATATGCTACTATATGCTATTGCAGTTTTAACAAAAGAAAATGGTCTAATCAGTGACCGTAACTAAAACATGCAAGTCCCCACAAGGTAATAAAAATATTAAGGGATCCTTGAATAGAGTTGTACTTGATTCTTAAGGGTTCCATGGACTTAAAAAGGTTAAGAAACACTGCTCTACAGTACAGACATTAACACTATAAATTAAAATCACTATAACATTGCAATAAAACTATATTTTTAGCACATGATGAAACTTTCACAATTTTTTTATGTATTTGGAAACTCAAACAACTGCCCTCCTGATGGTAAGTGGTAACCGTCGCCTATATACATGAACAGTACTACGGATATCACGTTATCATGTGACGGACGTGATACCACACATGTTTTTTTCCGGACTACTCTAAAGCCGCAGCTAGCCTTTACAGCTTCACGGACGATAGGGGGGGGCAAGTGCAGATGACACTCCAAACGCGCGGAAGCACTTATGGAGCAGTTGGGCAACTCCCGCTTAACGGATACGACTTTAGTCTGTGGGCACCGCTAGGGGATTCGAACCTCTCAGGCCGTCGTAATTTCGATCCCCGTTTGAATTGGACGGGGGATCGAAAGGAGGGGGCCATACATGGAATACTATTCTAAAGAACTAAGATCTCATGCTTCTTATCCTTTAATTTCACTGTCTACTCTACTAGCACCCTACAATCGTAATACAAGTTACAAAGCAAGCTGCTTGGCGGCTGAAGTAGGTGAGACTGAGGTATACAGATTGCAACATTACACAGTGTACCTTGGGTAAATAGACTCATTCAAGTTAATTGAAAGACTACTATAGATTCGGCTTCAGCCACACTTTAATAGATTTGTATCATCTCAGTCAATTTCCAGACATGGAAGTTGCGTAAATTCTTTTAAAGAATCTGTTCAAAATCTTATTAAGGAGTACACGAACTTACAGGGCCTTTAAATTAATAAAATAAATAACCCTGGATACACGCATTTAGTCCCATGGTAAGTAGAGCTTGAAAACCGCGATATCTTTTTAACCAATTTTATCCTTATTTGAAACAAAATAAGGTTGAATCGCATTTGAAAAAATACAACTGGCGCGAGCATACCGCCTCATCACTCTCGGTCGCTGCGACATACGTCGAACATTCGAAAGGTTGAATAAAATAATGAATTAATGATTATTGATTAACGATAGTAATCATTATTATTTTAATCATTATTAGTTCAATCATGATTCAGATAAATCAATCAAATTAATTTATTTAAAAGGTAATGAAATAATACAAATCTATTAAGTATCGACGACTGCTGATGTAAACTAAACGCATGCTAATAACAATACCTGCCAACATTGAACTACTGATAGTGCTTACAAGTAAGAATTAACGTGTGGATGCCAGTGTAAACTTTAGTGCACAGTACATAACCAAATACATCCAAGGGCTGCGGCATTTGAATTACATTTAAGTCGATATGTCATTGTTTACACAGAAAACTTGCAAGTAATCATGCTCGATACTATACAAGGTGTAAAAGTAAGTGGACTAATAACCCTATTGCTAACAATGTACGATGTCAGGTTGACTTCCAAGCGGCTACAACTCTAAACTATCTGGATAAGGTCCTGATGAATTTGCAACGATGGACGAACTGACCTGACCTCATCTTATCATCCCTCCACTGGTGTCCCGCCAGCGTAAACCGTTAGCCCAGACGGGTGTACCACTTCATTATCCATCTTATCATCCTCCACTGGTGTCCCGCCAGGGTAAACCATTAGCGCAGGCGGGTGCACCATTCCATTATCCATCTTATAATACTCTATTAATGCCCCGCCAGCGTAAACCGTTAGCGCAGGCGGGTGTACCATTCCACTTTCCATCTTATCATCCTCCACTGGTGTCCCGCCAGGGTAAACCGTTAGCGCAGGCGGGTGTACCATTCCACTTTCCATCTTATCATCCTCCACTGGTGTCCCGCCAGGGTAAACCGTTAGCGCAGGTGGGTGTACCATTCCGTTATCCATTTTATAATACTTTATTAATGCCCCGCCAGCGTAAACCGTTAGCGCAGGCGGGTGCACCATTCCATTATCCATCTTATAACACTCCACCAGTGCCCCGCCAGGGTAAACCGTTAGCGCAGGCGGGTGCACCATTCCATTATCCATATTCTAATACTCCACTAGTGCCTCCCAAGGGTAAACTGTCAGCGCAGGCGAGTGCACCATTGAATTAGCATCTATTTAAAAAAAATAACCACAGTATACTGCAAGCTACCTTGTCCTTGATACCAGCAGGTCGCGGCGCCGGCTGTGGAGGCATGGTGTGCCGCTTGGCGGCTTCGGGCGGCATCAGGTCATCCTTGTCGGCGGCTGCGAGGCCTGGAATAGAGCATTTTTTTATGTATATATAGCTTAATTTGTAAAACAAACTTATTTTATACCTTCTTTGTAGTTGTAAAGAAACTGTACCATTACATTTATCAGTTATTTTCAAAATCAAATTAAATAAAAAATCATTTATTCAAGTAGGTCATTTTAGGCGCTTGTGAACATAAAATTTTTTACATTATATTTTTTCCCCTACCGTCCAGTTCAGTATATAGATCCAATTCAGAAGAACTAGCAAGAAACTCAATTGAATTACTAATTTTTTTTAAAAGGCAGTTTATTTACAATGTATATTTATTATAGGTGTCTATGTCTAACATTAAATGAAAATCCCGTGCATGAACTATTGCCATGCACGCTCGTCATTCAAATAATCGTGTAGTGAGTAATATAGCTTGCTCAGTAAATATGATTTAACAGATGTTTTGAATTTATTTAAGTTATATTTTTAGGTATCTTATTGTAAATTTTTATACCTATTCCCATAAAAGACCTATTGACTTTTTCTAAACTATACTTGGGGACGAATAAAATACGAAACTTGACGTTCATAAGCGGCTAAAGTGTCCAAAATGAATAATTTTTTTTTATTTCATCTAATTAGATTAATCATTTAAACACACCGCCTAATTATAGCGCCCGCCCAATTGCAATGTTATTCTAACTCCGTAACGCAACACGTGGAATGTTTTCCTTCGCTAATGGACTCCCAGATTCGGTTCCGTATGTGGCATATTACATCCAGTTATATAAACATTATTTATCACAATGATAGGTATGTTAATTGCATTTATTTTATATTTATACAATTGGACACAACAATAGAAATAGAAATAATCTTTATTCAAATAAACTCAATACAAGCACTTCTGAATAGTCATATTTTTGATTCTACCACTCATTCGGAACGCAGATTCATTACAAGAAGAATGAGCAAGAAACTTGTGTGTTGCACTTTTGAATAGGTGTTTTTTTTTTATATAAATATTTACACATGCAATGTCACGGTATATAGAATAGAATAGAAAATAATTTATTCAGAAAACTTAATTTAAGCACTTTTGAATAGTCATAGTTATCATTCTTTTAATCTATCGCTTCGGAAAACTATTTCATCACAAGAGGAACGAGCAAGAAACTTGCGTGTTGCTCTTTTAAATAATCCTTGTAACTTTACATTTTATTTCGAAACGTGTGAATACAAATATTTAGATATATATTTTTTCTAAATACATACCGACCGATACAAACAATAATACTCATGAATACAAAATGTTTGCACCGTGCGAGGATCGAACCCGAGACTATCGGAAGTAAAGTGGCGTGCTATATTTAGGCCAATTTACATAATAACACATCCCTCCATGCATACATTCTCACAAATATTTGCGTTTATAGTATTAGTATGTAATATTATGTTATATGTGGTATTATTAAAATTTAGTATTGCGGAGTCATTGGATAATATGCTTTTTTTTTCTTATAATGTATAAAGTTCTCGTCAATTTCTAAGAAACGGCTTGACCAATTCTTATAAAATCTTCTGTATATATTCAGTCCATTTGATAATAGAACGTAAACTATTTTTCATACCCCTAAGTGATTAGGGTGGTCGAACCCAATTATTTTTTAATTATATGTAATAAAATCTTTATTTTTTAAAGATTCGACATTAAAAAAACATACACCCTAAATTATCACCCTTCATTCTATACCTTAATTGCGATATTACCACTTAATTTTTGTTTCTCTCGCCGGTTGATAACAGATTAATTTATATAGCAAAACGTTTAACTGGTGATCTATTTTCTATAGAAAAAATAAAATAACTCACTCGAAGCACAGTTAGGTGTCCAACAATCCTTGAAAACCATTATTACAAAACTACCCTTTAATCACAAGCACCAGCACTACACACTTCACCACTGTATGCAACACTATACCATTAACTAGAGAGCGATCACTAAAGAAATATAAAAAAAACTGATCAAAAATGTTACAAAACTATTATAATAATTATTAAACGAAATATCAGTAATTTAAAATCAACAGCAATCACAGATAAAAATGTAAAGAAAAAACACCGAATTGATCAAATTCGACCAAAATTGAATTTGACTATATTACTAAATATTTAACAGAAAAAAATATTTCACCATCAAACGTGTTCTCTAGACATCCGTCCCGAAAAATACCACATAAAATATACTAAATATAATATTACTATTATAATAATCCTAATAAAAAAAAACGTTAAAAACTCTAGTTAAACTATAATAAATTAAAATTAAAATAAACAAGAAAACTCGTGACTGAACCGGAGAAAAAGACTAAACTGTATAGTTTAAAAAATAAATTGCAAATATAGTATACACATATATATATTCGTTAAAAATTCCAGTTGCGCTATAAATTTAAATTAAAACAACTATCAAAGATAGTAAACAAGAAAAGTCGTGAATAAACCGGAGACATAGACGAAAAATTTCTTTACATTTAAAAAATCACAAGGTTACAAATATAGTATATATGTATATATTCGTGGAGAAAATCACTAGCGTTTTCTACCACGGCTCTATATGTACTGACATAACGTTTAAATGCACACAACCGTATACCGATTGCCGGCCGGCCCATGCTGTGAGTAAATAATATATTAATAGTAACCACTTCATGTATGCTGATCCGCATATTATCGAGATGGTGTTATGCTGTAACTAATTTGGTAATACGCATTACCAAACTACGACCATCTTTCAATCCCCTATCGTCCGGTGAAGTTGTAAAGGTCCGCTGTGGTCGACAGCAGTAGAGTAGCCCGAAAAAAAATATAAGTACGAGTGCAGATTGCACTCCAAACCAAAAGAAAGGACTTATGGACCGACTGAGCTGTGGTGCTTGTGTTTTTTTTCGGACTACTCTAATGCAGTTGGCCGCAGCTGGCCTTTACAGCTTCACCGGACGATAGGGGGCGAGTGCAGATGGCACTCCAAACCAAAGGTAGGACTTAAGGAGCGGCTGTGCTGTGGTGCTTGTGTTTTTTTTGGACTACTCTAATGCTGTTGGCCGCAGTTGGTCTTTACAGCTTCACCGGACGATAGGAGGCGAGTGCAGATGACACTCCTAACCAAAGGAAGGACTTATGGACCGACTGAGCAGTGGTGCTTGTGTTTTTTTCGGACTACTCTAACGCTGTTGGCCGCAGTTGGTCTTTACAGCTTCACCGGACGATAGGAGGCGAGTGCAGATGACACTCCTAACCAAAGAAAGGACTTATGGACCGACTGAGCTGTGGTGCTTGTGTTTTTTTTCGGACTACTCTAATGCAGTTGGCCGCAGCTGGCCTTTACAGCTTCACCGGACGATAGGAGGCGAGTGCAGATGACACTCCTAACCAAAGGAAGGACTTATGGACCGACTGAGCAGTGGTGCTTGTGTTTTTTTTCGGACTACTCTAATGCTGTTGGCCGCAGTTGGTCTTTACAGCTTCACCGGACGATAGGAGGCGAGTGCAGATGACACTCCTAACCAAAGAAAGGACTTATGGACCGACTGAGCAGTGGTGCTTGTGTTTTTTCGGACTACTCTAATGCTGTTGGCCGCAGTTGGCCTTTACAGCTTCACCGGACGATAGACGGCGAGTTCAGATTGCACTCCAAACCTGCGGAAGGACTTATGGAGCGGCTGTGCTGTTGTGCTTGTGTTTTTTTTCGGACTACTCTAATGCTGTTGGCCGCAACCAAAGAAAGGACTTATGGACCGACTGAGCAGTGGTGCTTGTGTTTTTTCGGACTACTCTAATGCTGTTGGCCGCAGTTGGTCTTTACAGCTTCACTGAACGATAGGAAGCGACTGCAGATTGCAATCCAAACGCGCGGAAGGACTTACGGAGCGGCTGAAGGCCCACTCATGCCTGACGGATACGACTTTAGTCTGAGGGGACCGCCCCTATAAACTTGTTTGAACCTCGGCTTAGGCCGTCGTAATATCGATCCCCGATTGAATTGGACGGGGGATCGATCGGAGGGGATATACTTATGTAAACAAAATGTATTTAACTATCACTGTCTTGTACCTATAACACAAGCTCGGCTTAGTTTGGGACTTTTTTCTATTATTTTTAGTGGATGATAATGGAATGGTGCACCCGTCTGCGATAACGGTTTACGCTGGCCCCAGTGGAAAATGACAGGATGAGCATGAGGTCAGGTCAATTAGCCATTGTGAGAAATTCACCAGGAATTTATCAGGATGGTTTCCAGGTCATCAACCTGACATGGTACTAGCAATGGAATTATTAATCCTCATTACTGACAACCCCTCCCCCATCTACAAAAACATAATCGTTAACGAACTCTTCAATTTCATAATATGTTTTTTCAAAAAGTAAGTGTTTTATATGACTTTTGAATCTTTTTTCAGGCAAATTTAGAACAGACTCTGGTAGTTTGTTGGAATACCTTACGCAATTACCATAAAATGAATTGTTAAATTTAGTTAAACGACATTTAGGTAAAATCAGTAGTTATTGTTACGTCAGCTTTTATTAGTGTAATCACTAAGTCTTTTGAAACAGTCTATATTATCCTGGCATACATGATATTTTCGTAAATGTATTGAGAAGCAACGGTGAGGTAACATTACAAAATGTTTCAATCTTGAATGAACTCGTTCAAACTGCATCGTGTCGTATTGACAATTGGGCGAATGAGTCAGTGCGAAATTCAGCCATTACTTCGAGCCGGCAAGGTCACCGTGCGTTTGTTTTTTGCGTGCCAACTACGGAACTAGACTATTAACAACTCATTTTTATTTACGGCGATGTCAAATATGATAATTGTGTTAATATACTATATATTTACTATATATATACTTGAAATTAAAGTTCAAATTGTTATATACTCGAGTCGAGACTGTAAAAAGTTGTCTGCGTGTGTACCTCAGTCTCACATATTGATCATAGCTACCAAGCAGCTTGCTTTGTAAGATGTTTCTGTTTGTTAGGCGGCTGACCAGAGATTTATTAAAAAAAACTTTTTAACACACAACACTAAAGTCACTGGGTTCATATAGTTTACTAGCTTTTGCCCGCGGCTTCGCTCGCGGTAATTTATACTTTTAGGGGTGGAATTTATCAAAATCCTTTCTTAGGGGATGCTTACGTCATCAGCTTTATGCATGCAAAGTCTTAGCCCGATCGGTTTAAAATTTACAAAGTTTCATATAAACTTTCATCCCCTATTTATCCCCTTGGGAGTGAATTAATCAAAATCCTTTCTTAGCAGATGCCTACGTCATAACATCTACCTGCATGCCAAATTTCAGTCCGATCCGTCCAGTGGTTTGTGTTGTGCGTTGATAAATCACTATGGCAGTTAGTCACCTTTGAGTTATATATATTATATTCCTGTTTTGATACATCATTTCTGCTGACAATACTTTCCTGAATATATTTTCTACATAATCTTTTTCGTTTTACCTATAAAACTACAACAAATCCGCAACGCGACCACGATTCCTAAGGCACGTTATTGACCCCTAGGGGTTGGAACCTCGTTCAGGCCGTCGTAATTTCGATCGCCGTTTTAATTGGGCGGGGGATCGATCTGAAGGCAAGAGTTGTGGTATTTGCCCATTACCGCGTGCTCTACCAATAAAAAATTCCATTGGAATTAGTAACGTAACTAGGAACAAATAAGATATATTTCTGACAAACTGCTGTACCATATAAAAATTCCTAAAGTTTTGAAAAATTCTAATCAGGACCGTAAACGGGAATACTTAAGGTACATTTCTGATAAACACCAACAAGTGGTGCGTGGCCTCAAAGTTTAGTAATCCGTGATACAGATCTATACAATTAGCCGTTCGCTGTGTAAACCAAGCTGACGTCACCACGTCTGGATCTAGAAACTAGACTGTTTACACCAGTGGTTGTTAACTTGGACTCATTGGAACTACTGAAGTGTTTTGGAAACTGCATCTTAAAATCGACCATAATAACATTGAATAAGGTTCCTTTTTATTTATATTGAGGAATTTGAGCTATTATTAGGTATTAATAATAATAATAATAAATAACATTGGTCAATTAACACAGCGCCATCTAGACACAAGATAAGCAGAGCTTAGGTTATGGCTATAGGTTTTAAACAACTGGTATGAATACTTAGAATTTTTTTTTGTATATACATTATAATAATAATAATAATGGTTTCTCTCCCTGGGGCCCTGAACCCCGGCCGACTGTGCTTCTGCCGGGGGTAAGTTGCCATCTCCTCTGGGAGATGAGATGTTTTTTGGAAGTTAGGAATAATAATAATCTTAGGACAATTCAGGCAGCGACATCTAGTCACAGACTAAGTAGAGCTTATGTTATGGGTTTTAGACAACTGATATAAATACTTAGATATATTTTTTTGTAAATACATAATAATAATTTTCTAGACCCAAGTTAAATAAAGCATATACATTATATATAGATATATTTTTTGTAAATACATACATATTATACATAGAAAACACCGACCGATACAAACAATCATACTCATGAATACAAATGTTTGCACCGAGCGAGGAATCGAACCCGCGACCATCGGAAGTAAAGCGTATTAAACGCTAGACCACCGAGACTGTCAATGCAATAATTTCATTAGAAGCTTAAGAAGCACTGGTTCATGGTTAAGTGTTGTTTGCGTCTGGCGTTTGCCGAACATAGACACCGGTCTGTGTTCCGTATTGTTTATGGATTGGAACTAATTTTAAATATTACATACGCTGATTTGGAAAATAATATTTATAATGCCCCTCATACATGTAGACTAATAGCGTGGATACTTCATACAGATTTGTTACAAGTGCAAATCTACATATATAAATATAATTGGAGTGTCTGTTTGTAATATTGAAATAACCGTTTTTTACTACATGCATATGAATCTTTCAGAGATAAGTCACAAATCTCTTTTAGAGATAAGGCCTCCTTAAACAAAACTTAGTTATATATTCAAAACTTGTTTTTAAAAGTGCAATAAAGTATATATTAATAAATACGGTAAAACACCAAAATAACATTTTTTACAATTTTTGCCGGTCTGTCTATTTGTTTGATCCGGTTAATCTCTGAAATGGCTGGACCGATTTTGACGGGACTTTTTTGGCAGGTAGCTGATGTAATATGGAGTAACATAGGCTACTCTTATTTTAGAAAAATAAACTTATATTCTACGCGGACGAAGTCGCGGGAACTGCTAGTTATATATATAAACCTTCCTCGTGAATCAATCTATCTATTAAAAGAAACCGCTTCAAAATCCGTTGCGTAGTTTTAAAGATTTAAGCATACATAGGGACAGACAGCGACAGCGACTTTGTTTTATACTATGTAATGATTAAGATTTAAGTTTATCAGAATAAATCATTTTCTATTACCACGACACGTCGTCATCATCACCATCGTTATGACAAACCAATACGTCACATTCATTTATATCGTGGCCGCCATTCATCAGCGGTCAGCTGTTCAGTAACATAAACATAATGTCAAGCAACGTACAATCTTTATTCATAGTCATTCTGGGAATCATCATATCAACAAATAAATGATGTATCTCAGCATTTATTTCATTTTCTTTCATGTAATCCTTATCCTTACTAATATTCTAAAAGCAAAAGTAACTCTGTCTCTCTGTTTGTCTGTCTCGCTTTCACGTCAAAACTACGAAATCCATTTAAATGAAATTTACTACATGGATTGTCTAGACTGAGAAAGGACATAGGCTACTTTTTAATGAAAAAAAAAACCTTTTCAACCCCTTACAACCCGTAAGGGGTTTAAAGTGGTTGAAAATAACATTTTTAGAATAATTGTCTGTCTGTCTGTCGGTCTGTTTGTTCCGGCTAATCTCTGAAATGGCTGAGCCTATTTTGACGTGACTTTTTCTGGCAGGTGGCTGATGTAATAAGGAGTAAATTAGGCTACTTTTATTTACGAAAAATAATGTTAAATTCCACGCGGACGAAGTCGCGGGAACAGCTAGTAAAAAATAAGATTCTACTATAGCTTATACTGTTTATTTGTGCATACCACTACAAGTTTTAATATTCTGTTTGAAATCTAATATTTTGTGTGAAACGATATTACTGTATTAATATCGATGATTTAATATAAACAAAAACATGTGTAATTCGTACCTAGAAGTTAACAGGTCATCTCTAATGTATATATACATTGAAATATATTAGTCATCGTTGGCAAACAGTGATAGCGTGATCACGACGGTATAGTATATTGATAGGTCTAGTGGTTTAGTACGCCGGCTACATTCGGTCGCGGGTTGGATTCCTTGCACGGTACTAACATTCGTATTCGTTATCTATACATATAAATAAAATTGAGTATCTGTTTGTAATATTGAAATAACCTATTTTACTACATGCATATGAATATAAATACGGTACATACACATAACATTTTTTTACAATTTTTGTCTGTCTGTTTGTTCCGGTTAATCTCTGAAATGGTTGGACCGATTTTGTCGGGACTTTCTTTGGCAGGTATTTATAGGTTTATTTATATTGCTTGTCTAGTTTGTATTCACACGTTTCGACTTGAAAAATGTAAACTTACTGGGTACCAGGGGAAACAGAGATTATTTAAAAGAGCAACACACAAGTTGCTTGCTTGTTCTTCGTTCACGTTGTGATAAACTTTCCGAAGGAGCGGAAGATTAAAAAAAAAAATTATGTCTATTCAAAAGTGCTTAAATTAAGTTTATTTGAACAAACGATTTTCTATTCTGTTCTATTATTTGTCTATAGTAGTATCGATATCATATCATACATATACCACGAATTAGTAAACCAATTGTAGTCAGCAAATAACCGCAAAACTAATGAATTGGTCCTTCGAGCCGGACACGTTAGTAAAGTACAGTAAGACTCCGCTTAATATCGCGCCATTTCGTTTGATGCCCCTTTATTTCAACCCGGGGATTGGGAACTGTAATGAATTTTGTAGCCGTGTCATATTTATTGTCAAAAATTGATATATTAATAGCAATAGAATTTTTAGTAAATTAAAACCATTTATTTAGTAATATGCGGTTTTATCTTATCAGGAACATAACGGAAAGACCTCAAGGAAATAGTTTTAGAAACAGCAGCTAGTCTTCATAATAACGAGGAATTAACTGAGCAAGAAAAAATATTGTTAGTAGTGATTCCGAAGAAAAGAAAGAAAAATAACATCGTTTCACTCTGTTAACACATCCTATGTGGTTGTAACCTACTCATGTATAAATGAAATATCTCCTTTGGAAAGTACAAAGTATTCTGAGGAGATAAAAATCATCGCTCCTAAGAATATCCTTCAATTCTTGTCCCTGACGGGTTTAGGTAGTGAACTTTGAGGTCACTAAGATGTAGGTCGCAGAGCTACAGGTTCGAGCACCTGACAATAGCCCAAATTCCCCAATAAAAAAAAAATCAAAAACATTGACAATAGTGATTGTAAAGAAAAGCGAGAAAGATAGCCTCTAACGCTGTTTCGGTTAGCGCTGGAATTTACTGGACATCTTCCCCCGCGTTGAGCGGGGTCTTACTGTACTTTTTTTAGTATACAAATTCAAATATAATATATGGTACTTACCGTCGACGCTGCGCGAGGAGATCTTGCGGTGAGACAGCGTACGGGAGAAGTGCGGCGGGGGACGCTGCGGGGGCGCCGCGCGGGACTCGTAGTGGGTGCGGCCGCTGTAACGGAACCGGGACCCCAGCCGGGGGAACACCGCGCCGCGGGACGGCTCCGGGGACGTCAGCCTGCGGGGGACACACACACTCAACGAGCGACCGGGACCCCAGCCGGGGGAACACCGCGCCGCGGGACGGCTCCGGGGACGTCAGCCTGCGGGGGACACACACACTCAACGAGCGACCGGGACCCCAGCCGGGGGAACACCGCGCCGCGGGACGGCTCCGGGGACGTCAGCCTGCACACACACGCATACTGAACATCCGACAAGGACTAAAGTCTACAAACGTCAGTCTGCGCACACGCATCGCATACCGAACATCCGACAAGGACCAAAGTCTACAGACGTCAGTCTGCGCACACGCATCGCATATTGAACATAGGACGACAACTATAGTGTACAAACGTCAGCTCAGCACACACATACGACATATCACACCGCGGGCTTCCTAACTATAGTGTACAAACGTCAGCTCAGCACACACATACGACATATCACACCGCGGGCTTCCGACTCCTGTGACGTCAGCCTACACACACACACACTCAGACACACGACATATTGGACATCGGACAGACTAAAATCGTCAGCCACCGCACACACTCATCATATCATACTCACACAATCGACATACTGAACATCGAACGAAAGAAGTAGTGCATACAGCGTCGCGTACCATCTTCTCCTGCGACATTACCCTACACACTGCAGACAGGATAGGGTCCGCCTTTCCAAAATATTTAGTTAGGGTTAGAGGGGGAGAAAGCCCAAAGAGATAAACAGAGATAAATAATTCATAGGGGTAAAAAAATGTCTGCTTTTCGATGCACATTACCCGCTTATTAAGCCATTATTATGGATTGGTAGAGGGTTGAATATCAGATAAGGAGTAATCCATATCTCCCCCGACTCACACACAGCACGTACAACCTATACACACGGGTCCCCCCCGTAATCCGTATGCGCCAGGGGATTGTTAGTAATGTGGACTCATGACCCCATTACCATGTCAGGTTGACCTCCACGCGGTTCCCCCTGGAAATCATCGTGATAAATTCCTGGTGAATTTATCACGATGGGCCAACTGATCTGACCTCATGCTCACCTTATCATCCTCCACTGGTGCCCCGTCAGCGTAAACCATTAGCGCAGGCGGGTGCACCATTCCATTATCACCCATAAAAAAAAAGCTATACACACGCGCGCACTCACACAAAACACACACATGACAAGGAGTCAAATGTATGGACACCAGGCTTCGCCCTCACACACGCAAGTCGTGATAGCCACTGCACCACGAAAGGACCAAATGAACATCGGACGAGGAGCAGTCCATATCTCACTGTTACATTGTGTCTTAACGGTCGTCCATAGACTACGGCAAACGTTGACCATCAGACGGACCTTGCCACCATCGTGGTATAAAAGAATTGTTACATCACTAAATAATATGCGATTTATAACTCTAAAAGAAGCGAATGGATAATATAAACAACTGGACCGATTATAATAAGAATTCTGTCCACTAGTCTTATATATAAAATTCTCGTGTCACAGTTTTCGTTCCCATACTCCTCCGAAACGGCTTGACCGATTCTAATAAAATTTTGTGAGCGTATTGTGTAGGTCTGAGAATCGACCAACATCTATTATTCATCCCCCTAAATGTTAGGGGTACTCCACCCCTCAATTTTTTTGTTTCATTTTAAGGCAAAACAACGTTTGCCGGGACAGCTAGTAACCTATAACATTAAGGCAGGTTACTGCAAGAGGCCAGTGCTAAATTCCATATTTACCCAATAAAAAAACTAGTCCACAGCTGGGTCTTTAGTTCAGATGCTGCATATATATATATATATATATATATACAGTAGACCCCCAGTAATCTGACCCTTATTTGTAGGTACTTCAGAGTGCATATATAACACATAGAATCTTATCACTGGATCTGTAATATGTTAGAATAGTCCGAATTTTTTTTACAAAAGAGTACCTTGTAAATGTACTCTTTTGTAATAAAAATTCGGACTATAGGGGTACTCTTAGGCAGTACTCTATAATGCGACAAATTCGATGGTCCGACACTGCCCTGCAAAATGTTTGTTGTATAACCGAGGGTCCACTGTATATATATATATTTATATATATTTTATAATATATTCTTATTTAAGTATGTATGTATTTAAAGATATTTATTTAAATTTATGAATTTTATTATAATTGTACCTACTTCCTTTTAATAAGAAAGCAAGTCATTTCATGTTATTATTTACTTCAATGCAACGCCCATTAATCTCTGTTTGCCTTATGGTCGTATGGGAGAAAATACTTTATGGTGTGAAATCCGCCATATTATCTTTATATATTAAGTATTAATAAATAAATATACCTGAAGGCCAGTGCTATATTCCATATATATCCAATAAAAAAAACTATATAACAGTGTTTTGTTCAGATGCTGCACATACCTGAAGAAGGTATGATGTTCTACGCAGGTTTTCCACAGTTTCTTAGCGGCGCGGTGGTTGGCCAGCTTGAAGCCGACCGTGGACTCGAACTGTTCAAACTCGCCAGGGCGCAGCTTCACGTAGAAGTTGTGGCGTTTGTAACTGATCTTCAGGATCTTGGGCCACGCGAAGCGGTTGATGCGCAGCCTAATATGTACAAATACAAAATTCAAAAATTCATGTAGGTCTAATTCTGTGGATTGGAGTGGAGTACAAGTGGATTGTAATATGGATTAATTCAAATTCAAATTAAAAAATCATTTATTCATGTAGGACATTTTAGCCGCTTATGAACGTCATATTTTTTATAGTATAATTTTTTCCTACCGTCCAGTTCAGTATACAGATCCAATTGAGAAGAATTGGCAAGAAATTCAATTGAGTTACTTTTTTTTTAAAAGCCAGTTTATTTACAATGTATATTTATATAGGTGTCTATGTCTAACATTAAATGAAGATTCCGTGCATGAACAACTATTTCCATGCACGCTCGTCATTCATTAATAACATTGCTCGCAATGTACCATGTCAGGTTCATCTCTACTTGTTTCCTTCTCGAAACCATCGTTATAATTTCATGGTGAATTTACCACGATGGACTAACTGACCTGACCTCATGTTCATCTCATTATGTTCAACTGGGTGCAGGTGGGTGTACCATTAAATTATCAACCATAAGAAAAAATATTTAAATAGTGATTCCTATGTATGCTTAAATCTTTAAAACTACGCAACGGATTTCGAAGCGGTTTTCTTTAATAGATAGCGTTACTTAAGAGGAAGGTTTATATATATAATACATGTACACCCGTGTGAAGCCGTGGCGAGTAGCTTGTAAAATATGTATGTACAATATATACGGTTGGGATACCATACTGTTTGTTTTCCTAATTATTGACTCTGAGATACCCACCGCTGTTCTCATTCCGTTCACAGCTTAAAGCGCGCATGACGCCAGCAGTGTGCGATAGAGACGACATAATACTTCCTTCTCTTTCCCATATATACTACAAGTATTTATCATAATATTATTATTAATAAATACTAGACGTACTTCTCTCTGTGCACGAGTAGACCAGACGAGCACACGCCAAGCGTGATGTCCACATTCTCAGAGTCCTTGGCGGGATGGAGGTCCACTCCATACATGGCCAGTTTCTTAGCATTCTCCAGGTAGTTCAGCTCAGCTTCCGCTGGGGTTTGGCCTCTGTCAATTAAATTTATATATTGAGTACACAATTTTACTATTAATAATAATAATATACATAAAATTTACACTGTTTCTTCGTAGTCTTTTTAATATAACTGGAATGGCGATCAAGCTGACGATCTGCCCGATTCTTTCAATAAAGTATATCCGTAACTTACATAAAAAAAATAACTATTTTTGTCTGTCTGTCTATTTATTCTTGCCGCCGGTTACTCGCCGGTTATAGCGTAATGCACGCATGACGCCAGCATTGTGCGCTAGAGACGACAGAATACTTCCTTCTCTTTCCCACATATAGTAATCCTGTACTAATTCAATACCTGTGTGTCTTGTGCAACTCCGCAACCTTCTCCTCTAGTTCCGGCGTGCAGGCCGATGGTGGGACCAGCTTCAGTTGCTTGCAGTGCCCCGCCGCTGCCTCAGACTCCTCGTAGTCGCCGAGCTCGGACTGCAGCAGGTAGCTGGCCAGCAACGCGTGCGTCACCGTCGAGCATGGCAGACGACCTGACCACAATGTCATCATTTATTTATTATGCAACAATTATCAACTGTAATAATTTTGACCTCGGTGGTCTAGCGGTATAGCACACTGATTTGCTTCCGAAGGACGCGGTTTCGATTCCTGGCATGGCACAACAAAGATTTGTTATGATGAGTTTAATTGTTTGTATCTTCCGAAGGACGTAACTAGATGGCGCTATATGGTTTCGATTCCTGGCATGCGATCTTTTTACATATAGCACAACAAAGATTTGTTATTTATCAAATAGATGTCGTGATATATGTTTAATTGCTTGTATCGGTCCGGATTATGTAAAAACTTTTTCTTTGTTTAATGAATAAAATAATTATATAAGATATTGAATTTCTGGTTTTTTTTTTTTTTGTGGAATATAATGTAATGGTGCACCCGTCTGCGCTAACGGTTTACGCTGACGGGGCACCAGTGGGGGATGATAAGATGAGCATGAGGTCAGGTCAGTCAGCCCATCGTGACAAATTCACCAGGAATTTGTCACGATGGTTTCCAGGGGGAACCGCGTGGAGGTCAACCTGACATGGTACATTGCTAGCAATGGAGTTATCATGAATTTCTGGTTACCTTCTAGGAGGTCCCTCCTGACCGCCAACACGAGTTGATACCGCGTCAGTTCCTCCTGCAACTGGCCTGGTTCCGGGGGGTAAAATTTCACCGCGAACCTCACTTCCCATGGTTCTCCTGTAAGATGAAACATTAATATTAACATCTGCTAGTTCCCTGCGCCGGACTAGTTCACTTCTATGCCCGCGTCATGCAGTCCAGCACGACGGTAAAGGTCCGTAGTCGAGCTGTGGTGCTTGTGTTTTTTTCAGACTACTCTAATGCTGTTGATCGCAGCTGGCCTTTACAGCTTCACTGCAAGTTTTTTTTAATGGATCATAATGAAATGGTGCACCCGCCTGCGCTAACGGTTTACGCTGGCGGGGCACCAGTGGAAGATGATAAGATGAATATGAGGTCAGGTTAGTTAGGCCATCGTGATAAATTCATCTTCTCCAAAACGGCGGAAGGACTTATGGAGCGGCTCAAGCTAAATCTCGCTTGACGAATACGACTTTAGTTTGAGGGCTAAGGGTTTGAATCTCGGCCGTTGACCGTTGTATTTTCGTGTGTTGTTTATGTTAATATTTGTGTGTTACATAGATAGATATGGATAGATAGATAAAAGATTTATTAGCAACATTAAACAAATTACAAACAATACACAAAATAAGAAATACTCGCCCCAGCTTCGCCCGGGTGTACATATATTATACATATACTCTTCATTATTATATATAGTATCACTGTCTGTCCGTCCCTATGTATGCTTAAATCTTTAAAACTACGTAACGGATTGTATCGGTTTTAATAGGTCTATCTATTAAAAAAAACCGATAGTAGATAAGAGTGATTCAAGAGGAAGGCTCTACGTAGTTTTAAAGATTTAAGCATACATAGGGACGGACACACAGTGATACTATATATAATAACGAAGAGCTGGGTTATATACCTTAATATACATACATACATATATATATATAAATAACATACTATGCCTCTGGCTACCCTATCTGGAATAATAATCGTGACGGGTTGTTTCAACTCAGTTCTTAGTACCAACGTTACATAATCAAGTCTAAATTGTTCTAGTAGATTGTTAGTAGGTTTTTCGATTTCTCAGCATATTTTATATCACGAGTTACGAGAGTTCTCGATACTCATTTCTCAAGATTCTATAGTTTTTCGAGAACTCAAAAAATGTATTAAATACAGATAAAAAATTAATTTACAAATCAACATATTATTTATTTTTTTATGAGCTCAACTTTTAACTTAGGATTAATTGCCTAATTATTTTTCCGTGGTTACTGAGAGGGTGCGCACTTCTGCAATATGAAACGAGTCTAAATTATGATGGACCGCGCCGAATTTTTCAAATTCTTCATAATTAACAATTAAAATGTTTAAATATAGGAAATTTAATTTTTTACGCACTTTATTTAATACGAAAGTTTGTAGTTCTGACAGTTTGAAAGCAAGGCAGAGTATTTACTACCCTTCGCTTCGCTTCTCCGCCTACACACAGTACTGTGTACTAACATAGAGTAAAAAAAGCGTGCTTTTTATAAACTTTTACAGATATTATTAAAATACAAAAAGAGATTTCTCGAGACATCTATTCTAAAGAGCAACACATAAGTTTCTTGCTCATGTCTTGTAATGAATCAAGTGGTAGAATCAAAAGTATGACTATTCAAAAGTGCTGTATTGAATTTATTTGAATAAAGATTATTTCTATTTCTATTTCGAGTTCTCCAGTGATTTTTCTCGTCTCTACATTACGTCAAATTCTTGGTGTTCCTCGACCCGAGGAATCTCCATTGAAACCCTAATTGTTAGTAACACCACCACATCGAGGACGTAACACAGTTTGATACAGCGCTTACGTTTCAGCAGTTTGGACCAAAATATGACTATTCAAAAGTTCTTTTACTGAGTTTATTTGATTAAAGATTATTTCTATTTCTATTTCGAGTTCTCCAGTGATTTTTCTCGTCTCTACATTTCGTCTAATTCTTGGTGTTCCTCGACTCGAGAAATCTCCATCGAAACCCCAATTGTTAGTAACACCACCAAACCGAGGACGTAACACAATTTGATACAGTACGCTTACGTTTCAGCAGTTTCGACACCCGCTTGTCGAGGTCGATCCAGACGCGTGGATCCCCACGGTCCTCGTACAGCAGCCCGAAGTAGTCCTTCTCAACTAGGTTCAATTTGTCGCAGACGGAGTTCAGGAGTTCGTGGCCGCGGATCTTTTTCTGAAAATGGACGATACATAAATTATATCACACATTCCGACAAACATTTACAAGAGAATAAAGAAGTCACATAATGCGTAGAAAAATATTTGCATCAAAACACTACAGTTACACTATTAAACTGTGACATGTGAAAAAAGAGGAGATTCCTCCCGCATAAACTTAGATTGTGAACTGAACTGAGTGCCGCAGTTTTCTCTAGAGACAACAGCTAGGGTTTTTCAAGAAGGATTCGATACTATATAACAAGGTATTGGAATTACAAAATGCGTTCAAAAATATTATGAAATCTAGGACCCCTTCCAGCCTCCTAGATTTTATTACAACCCATTTGAATTAAAACACTATAGTTTTACTATTAAAATGTGGGTAGTTGTAACATTAGAAAAGGAACGGTTTCCTCTTCCGCGTGCACTTAGATAGTTGAATGAACTACCTGCCGAAGTTTTCACTAAATACTTTTTTCAGCATGGAGTTTTCCAGGGGTATACTAAGGTTTCTTAAGGCACAGCAACACGCATGTGACACGCCTGGTGTTTCAGACGTCCATACGCTAATGTTACCATTTAACCTGATGGCCTCGGTGGTCTAATTATTTATCACACGTTTTACTTCCAATGGTCTCGGGTTTGATTCCTCGCACGACACAAACATCTATTACTATGAGTGTTTGTATCTGTTTTTAATGTCTACCAACAACACCAACTCTGCACTCTAGCTTGAGTCTAGATGGCGCTATGTGAATTATTCAGGTTTATCATTATTTAGCATCAGATACATCGTATGTTTGATTTCCACATTTGTGGTATACGAAGTTGGAAAAATAAGAACAAAAAAATACTTACGTCCACGTCCAAGTTCAAACTGGACCCATCGAGTAGTTCCACCTTCACTTTGGTCAGGTTGCCGTGGTGCGGCCGCTTCTCTTCCTTGGGCTTGGTTTTGGCCTCATCCTTGGCCTCCTTGGGCACGCCCTCCGGCATCTTGCCGACCTTCTACACCTGAAACATGAAAGGTCTGTGTTAAGTACGTCTTAAGTTTTCTCAATCTATCAATTCTCTTCAACTAAATTTTGTTTAAGTCAAGTAGAACTGACATTCTTTTTGATTTGAAATTCACGTTCTTTCTGAACTGACCGTATATTTGTCGTATTTTAAGTATCTAAAGTAAATGTAAAAGGCACCTGAAATATGAAAGGTCTCAGTTAAGTATGTTTAGTTCCAGGTTTTCGAGAATAGTGGGGCAGGCACAAGATGAGTGAGGCGGCCTATGAACAGTGACTTGGACAAAAAAGGGCATACGAGCAAGCGGCTAACGGAACGAACGATTTGTATATGTATTTATAATAGTTTTAACTTAATTTTTTTTTTCGATAACAATATTGCCAACAACATGGGAACGAAACCGGGGCTCAGTTAATGCAGTTATACGTAATACAAATATATAAAATTGAAGTGTCTGTAATTTCAACTTAACAGCCGTTTACTAAATGATTATGAAAGTATATACTTACAAAATATATATATAAAAAATATATCTGTCTGTTTGTTCTTGCTAATCTTAGAAACGGTTGACCCGATTTCCACGTCAGGTCAACCTCCACATGGTTCTCTATGAAAAACCAAGATGATTTCACGATGGGCTACCTGACCTGACCTGTTCATCTTATCATCCTCCACTAGTGCCCCGCCAGCGTAAACCGTTAGCGCAGGCGAGTGTACCATTCCATTAAAAAAAAACCATTGTTCTTATATGAACTTCCAGACCAATCCAGCTATAAATACCACCCGTTTGAAGGTTACCGTCACCTTACAATGGTAGTATTAATCAACAGGCTACACACCGTGAGAACCGAATGCACTACCAACGTATCCATTGTCGCACGTTGTATGTATTCATTTTTTGTACATTTCCGCTGCAAACTGCTAGCACAATATGAACAATAACTGCATATTATGACGACCTCGGTGGTATAGCAGTCTAGCACACCGTTTTACATCCGATGGTCGCGCGTTCAATTCCTCGCACGGCACAAACATTTGTATTCATAAGTATGATTGTTTGTATAGGTCTAGGTGTTTTCTGTGTATAATAATATTTCTTTTTATATATATTTGTATCAGTTATCTAGTACCAATAACACAAGCTTTAGTTAGCTTAACTTGGGTCTAGATGGCGCTGTGTGAATTGTCCTGAGATTATTATTATTTTCTTTTCCTTTGATGTTAATACAGGTCTCATGTGACATTTAATAGTTCTAAAAGACAATTTGTCGTAATTTTCAGCAATCAAATTCTCATTAAATAATTGACTCAATGTCATTGCAATTAACACGTGCACCAGAATGTATTTTTTTGTCTCCTTTGCCGATTACAAAAGTGTGAGTTATTATGTAACTAGCTGTTACCCGTGACTTCGTGTGTTGAATTTAACTATTTTCTATTAAAATTAATAAAATTACTAAATTAAAAGTACCTTAAGTCACTCAACTAACTTATAACATTAGCTTTCTGCGAGTTTTGTCTCTTTTACCGATTGCAAACGTTATCATATGGCTATGTTTATCAACTGGCTGTATCTCGTGACGTCGTCTGCGTTGAATTATTTTTTTTCCCAAATTAAATAAAATTTCAAAAATAAAAATATCTAAGTTAGTCTTCATAACATTAGCTATATGCGAATGCAAGTCACAAGTAAGCAAGCACAAACAGACAGACAGAAAAAATAAATATATTTTATATAAAAACTAATTCAATTTGTAAATATTTATACGTAGTTCTATCGGAAGCTTATATGATGTTATTTTACATAACGATTTATTTAATATTCATTTAATAAAAATCTGTTAAAATCTATTTTTGTGTAAGAAAGCCTATTACAGGATAGACGAATTCATAGATGACAACATACCAAGTAAATAATTAGTTTATTGGCACACAACGTTATAATTTGTTTATCTCATTGCTTTCTTTATTTAATTATTTTAGAAATATGAAAGCGTAGCGGTTTTTGTATTGATTGCCGCATACATATGTAAAATGTGAATACTATAACTATCAGTTTATTTGAATAAATTATTTTCTGTTCTACTCTATTATTATATAGTTCATTTATATTTATTCATATTGATTTTAGAAATAAAAAGTACATGTCTGTACATTTTCTCAAATCTCTAAATCTAGGATCGAAGAGGAAAATCTTATATATAAAATTCTCGTGTCACAGTTTTCGTTCCTATACTCCTCCGAAACGGTTTGACCGATTCTCATGAAATTTTGTGAGCGTATTGAGTAGGTCTGAGAATCGGCCAACATCTATTTCTCATCCCCCTAAATGTTAGGGGTAGTCCACCCCTAATTTTTTTTTTTATTTTAAGGCAAAACAATGTTTGCCGGGACAGCTAGTATAAATTTATAGACAAAGGATAAAGAAACAGTAAATACGATTAATAATGTTAGGTTTCTAACATCAATTACATAACAAATCCATCCTAACATTGGTCCCGCACTATTACGTACCGCCCACGACTCCAATCCCGATTAGGCTTGTATAGTTCTTGAACGATCTAGTTCGGAACAGCGCTCCCAACGACAAACTACGTGTAGTTCACAGAAATTTCGTCCTACAGTTCGTTAGTTCGTTTGAAAAAACGCAAAATGACTTGTCACAAAAAAAACGAGACCACATAATAATAACAATATTTCTCAAGACAATTCACACAGCGCCATCTACCCTCACGGTAAGCAGAGCTCGTGTTATGGGTACTAGACAATATAAATACATAGATACATTTATGTAAACACATACATAATATACTTAGAAAACACCTATACCGATACAAACAATCATACTCATGAATACAAATCATGTAGGTGTCGTGCGAGGAATTACAGCCGCGCCCATCGACAGTAAGACGGTGTGCTTAATCGCTACACTACTGAGGCCATCGTATTTTTAAGGATGTCCTTCCTCTAAACTCTAGAAGGTCTGGAAGTATTTTTCATCCTTTAGCCACTAGAGTGTAGAGCGGTGTTTCTAAATTAGTGGTACGCGTACCCCCAGGGGTACGGGAAGTTGCATCAAGGGGTACGTGCGGCTATCAGTAAAACAAACACACACACACACTCACAATCTTTCACACATTAAGGAGTAGGCAAGGTTTGAGGTCTTTTTGAAGTGGTACGCAGCAAAAACTACTTGGAAACACTGGTCTAGAGGATGACAAGCCTAAGTCGGGAGCGAACGAACTAGATCGCCTTTAGATCTGCGAACTGAATTGGACCGAGTGCCGAACTATTGTATTATGCGCAAGTCTTGTCCCGATGTGATTGATGACCGGGCGACCTCGGCGTTGCCTGTGACCCTAATTCGACAATTGTATCAAGGATCCAGCAGATCAGAATGGACATGTCTTACGTCACGGATATTATTAGTCTTAGGGGCTGTCCACGTGATGTTTCTTAACATTTTTACACCCCTGCCCTCTCCCCCTGATGATACATGGAGATTTAAGATTAACCCCGTAGGAAAGAGGTTTGTTAATAATGGGGACTGATGATCTTATTGCTAACAATGTACCATTGACAGATTGACCTCCATCCATTGGAAACTATCGTGGCAAATTCTTGGTGAATTTGTCACGTCGGACAGGATGACCTGATATAATGCTCATTTTATCATTCTCCACTGGTGCCCCGCCAGCATAAAAAAGACTAACCCCTCCCCAAAAACCAAACCAAAATCTAGAGGTACCTAGAAATTCTTATTTTTTTTTAAATCTTTAAATACAAATTAGAAAAGTCAAAGTTACTAAATAAGATACTGAAAAGCGGTCAGTTTAAAAAATAAATATCCGTGATATTTTTCTACACCCTCCTCCCCAATTGTGATATTTTTTGACATTTGCCAAAATTAACAAATTGGAGTATTGTGAAGCGAAACATTGATCACGTTTTCTCCATTATTATACTCATGGGCAAGCAAGCTGAAACATAAATGGTCTCGGACTGTGCAGTTTCAGAGGAGCTTCCTCCCGCGTATACTTACATTGTGGAATGAACTACCTGCCGAGGTTTTCTCGAGAGACTACAACATGGGGTATTTCAAGAAGGTTTCTTATGGCAACGCGCACGTGACACCCCTGGTGTTCCTGGCGTCCATAGGCTACGGTAACCATTTACTATCAGATGGGCTGTATTTTTGTTTGCCACCATCGTCGTATAAAAAAGGTTTCTATTCTTTTAATATTTTTATGCGATTTGTCGTCTGTATATGTCTCTACTTCACTTAATTCTTTTTTAATTTGACTGTAGTCCAACGCTAAACGTATTGTCGCGGTTTATAACGATCAGATGGGCCGTATGCTTGTTTGTCACCTACCTAGTATAAAAAAAGGTCAATTAAAATACCAATAGGCGGGTATAGCAGTGGGATCTTCGACCTCATAATATATTCACAATTGACCATTTCAAAGAGCAAAGAAACAAGGTCAAGTTACATATGGAGTGATCTAATACACGTTTACGTTGGGCTCGGAATATTCATGGTCAGTAATCAAATCAATAACAAATATTATTACATCATGTATCTCTCTCTACTAATATTATGAATGCGAAAGTAACTCTGTCTGTCTGTCTGTCTCGCTTTCACGTCAAAACTACTATCGATTTAAATGAAATTTGGTACACAGATAGTCTAGACCCTGAGCAAGAACATAGGCTACTTTTTAATGCGAATAAAGGGTTGTAAGGGGTTGAAAGTGAGATGAAAGGTTGTATGGAAGAATAGTCATTTTTGAAGCTAGAAGCTTGAAACTTATTTTTGAGGCTGTTGATTAAATACTAATAAATATGACATTCAAAGGTTGTAAAAATGTTACCTTTAAGAGGGTAAAAAAAATTGTGTGGAAAATAGTTAATTTCATTTGCTTTTTTCGGTTAGATGAATATTTTGTTCTTTGTTAGGTCGAGGTCACTATAATTACGTGGACGAAGTCGCGGGC